TCATTTCATTTCATCCTATTGAAATTTAGCATCAAATTTTCATACAGTTATGGCTCCTGTAACCAAAACATTGTATATTCTTTACAAAGCTTTTGACATTGACATATATATACTCAACAAATTTTTGGGATTTTTTATTTAAAACTGTGCTGGGATTGTTTGTTTCTGGGGAAGAACCCTATTAATACATCAGTTAAAGCCCTTATCGTCAGAATCTTGTAAACTCTCTATATGTTCAAATTTTTTTCGTTTCATTTTTCAAATTTGCTGGGTTTGTTGGGCTAGTCATAAGGAAAAATCCTGTCGAAATTCAGAGTTTCTCATTCCTTTTGCACAGTATTACTGCCCCTGTCACTGGCACCTTATAAATAATATGCAATATTGTACTTTAAACAAAATAGAATTAAACCAACCACCGGTAGTGATGAATTGGTTTCTTACAGGAAATATATCGATCATGTAACTAAGGCAACCAGTCTAAAAAAATATTAAACACATTTATACTTTAAACTGAAATAAAATTAGGTTTAAAGTCCCAGATGTATGAATCAACTGTATTGTGGACAGCCGTGTTTCTGTCTACTCTTTGTCGAATTCTACTGCCAAGGGTACGTTTACGTGCATGCCAATGTGTTCGCAGGACCTCAGTTTTTTGTTGCATCCAAATGACTAGACGTTGTTCCTTGTTAGTCCCTCCGTTCTGCACCGATAATCCACACAAGAAAATTAGAGGAAATTATTAGCCATCATAGCAATTGAACCTGGGACCTTCTCTGACTCCTTTATTTTAAGGTAGATCTTAGTGACATAGGACTATAATTATTTTATGAACTCCCAAACCTCCCAATTTAAGATATTTGAGACAGTAAGTCCCAGGGTTTCTGTTTAATGGCAAGAGAAGGTTTAGGTATTTTAAACAATGAAAGTAGTTCAAGCCCAACAATGTTGTACAAGTTTTCTCTAGTTGTGGTAAAGGAGTCTATAATATCATTGATTAAAGGTGTAAACAATACCCAAATCTAATCTTGTTGCGTCTGCTCTCGTACTTCAGGTGAGGATTTTTGCTTGAAATAAATAAGGTAATATGGTGATTACCCAGGGTTCAAATTACACAAGTAACTTACTTTAGACAGTTTAGTCTACTAAAACAAACAGGATTTGTTTGTATTTAATTTATCATGTGGTACCTTTGCTTAATGACCAATCACTTGTTCAACAAATTGGACAAAGGTAAGATAAAGTGTTAGTATCTGTTTTGTTTGTTCATTCAATGAAATGCTTTGCCATATAGATGTTACTTACTTATATATTTATATAGGTAAAATATTTTTCGTCCTGATCTTGTGTGAGGTAAGGTAGAGCTATAATTTGTCACACATGTAAGTAAGCAAATTGTCTCATAAACTTACATTGGTTGTAAAATCAAATTCAGTAATTTTCTGTAGACGTAATGTATATATGAATGTATGAATTGTATTGGTAGTTCATTGGTAAAGAATAGTTGCTATTCACAACAGATAATTTTCAATCTGTTACATTCACATTAAAGGTACAAAGAGATCCTTCTTAAAGAATGTCACATAAAAATAAATTATTTCATACATTTCTAAGATTCTTTTCACACCCAATTTATTTTAGTTATGAATATGTTTTTATGATAATCTAATCATGTGTAAGTATGTGTTTACTTGAGAATATGAGGTATGGAAATAATGGTAGGTATAAAATATACCTGAGAATATCTAATAGTTGGTGTCAATCTATATATTACTCTTTAACAGATGGCTTTCCCTTAATTGGATTTAAAGTAATGGGGTTTTCTGTTTGAGAGTGGGTCAAGGAGTTGTACTTGCATGAGTGGTAAATGAAACTCTTTTTATTTTGCCCATGGTAGTCTGTTCATAACATCTTTTCAAGTCACAGTTTGTGGGTTGTTGTAAAATTTGTTAAGGTTTTGTCACTGGTCTTCCTGAATGATTTTATAAGAAGTCTGGGTTACCTACTGCCACAGTTTGTTCTGTGGAGTGTTATTCAAACAGTTTTACGTGAACAGACCTATATACTGTTTTATTGACTGATTGAATAGATAAAGAAACTTGAGTGTTTCCCATCATCTGATTTACCTAGTATAACATCATTTAAACCCAGCTTGTGGTAACATATACAGCCATCTACTTAAAAAACTGACCTTCTTAGAAGATGTTTGATCTGGTCCAGTTAGGGGAGAGAGAAATTGTGTTTAATGTCCACTTGACACAAACTGGGTTAGGGTTGGGCATGCGACCCTACTCCTTGTGATGTACAAGCTTGGTATCGAAAGTATGCCACTTGATTCAATGACAGACCTTATGATCTAAAATGCACACATTAGACCACTCGACCACCCAACCATGATGGCCCAGTTAGCTATTAATTCCGATTAAAAGTGGCACTGTGAAAATATGGTCAACGTATCATAAAATTTATCATTTCAGATATTTTATGCTGCCTAATGTGGATGAAAAAGTACTACTATTGGCACTTCTTTGCAATGATTTAAAACAAACTTTAAATTTTTGTCTACCTCTGTATTATTAGCTATAAGGGGGGTTGGGTGGCCGAATGGTTAACGTGTGCGCATTGGATCTGAAGGTCTGTCATTGAGTCAAGTGGTAGGGTTTCGATTTCCCGCTTGTATGTGACAAGGAGTAGGGTCGCCTGTCGAACTGGATGGGTTTTCTCCTGGTCCTTCAGTTTCCTTCCACTACTAAAGACTCCTACGTGCAACGAATTATTGAAATAAAATTGAACCATATAATAGTCCCACAATAACCTAGTATAGGTCGAGTGGACGTTTAATCCCATTTCTCTCTCTCATTAGCTATAATAATTATATAAAACTATTTGCGTATTAATATTTGGCATTTACATTTTTTTGTTGTTGGCAATGAAATTGGCAAAGCTTACTGAAAACCTTTGGAAGAAAACATACATCATGCAAGAGCTAAATCTGCCTATTGCAGATCTTTCTTTAGGCCTGAAAAGTTATCTAAATTAATATTAATTAGACATTAATTAACTTATCCAGACCATAATCAACACTCGTCATCGTTGGCCTGCGATATTTACTGGATTAGGATCCAAATTGCTGCTCAACATTCATTCAATATTAAATCATGAAATGGATAATCTAGACTGTTTTTTATTGTACCGACTTTAGTAATGATGATCGAGGCTAGGCCGAAATTTCAGTCACTAAATTCTTGGTTCAGAGCGGATCAATTTGACTGAAATTCTCAGCAAATCCCCTTTACATTATCTAGTTTTTAACTATTATTGTGAGAACTGCCAGCTCTTTATCTAATCTCCCATAATAATGTATCTTTAAATTGGTGTGATTTATGTTTTGGATCTCCTTATATCACTGCAGTAATCTGATAATTGATTGTAAATCTTGTTTTTGTCTGTGGAGATCATTATCTGTGAAAAAGAATGAAGTTTTCAACCGTGAATTATGATCGTTGACTAATCCCCCTGCCTTGAGGCTACCTTTAGTCCCCAGAATTAACTTACCCTCATGATCCTATATCTGTATTATTGCTTATTACTTCGATTATATAAACATTTTGTTTTATTGCTATCATATTGTCTGCAGCTTAAATATGATTTAATTTTCCACTTGAAAAGCCCTTGAGGCTTTTAACAAGACTTTAAGTAATCAATTAGGCAGGCATGATTTGTTGTGGTGTAATGCTATCACACTACTTGTGCTTATCACACTTCTATACTAAATAATAGTTGGTTTATATTATTATGGTAAATATTAGTATACCTTTAGGCCAACCTTTGATAGCTTTATTTAACTGGTCATATTTTTTTTAATTAGATGTATGTATTCATACATGTACATGTGGAAATCACTATATCTACAGATATCTATATAATATATTGTCTAAACTTTAGACTGATGTATTTCATGAAGTATAGCAAAGTAATATAGATCTAATGTGAAGAAGAATAGAGTTTCCTTTGATGTTTTTTACTGACAAGACCTACATCATACCAACATAGAGTATAGCATATTACTTTAGACTCTCCATCACAACATTCTATAAGCATACCTTTTCTGTGTGAAGGGAGAATATTTTAAGATATTGTATAACCTGGGCCCTGTTTCTCGAAATCTTAACTAAAGATAAAATCCGAAACGGGCCCCTGCATGTTTGTGACTTTTATTAACTTGTGTACACTGTAAAGGATTATTGTCTTTCTGATTCCCCTCATGAAATATATATATGTATTGTAGCTCTACTGACTTGACAGAAATAAATTTTTTATAGCTCATTCAGTTCCAGGTGTAGAGAGCTTTCACAATCTCGATTTTTATGTTGTTGGCAAGCGTGTCCTTCTACCCACATTGCTGGTGGACACTCTAGAGCAGTTGTGTCAAACATGTGGCCCGCGGGCCAGATCCGGCCCGCCAAGAATTTAAATGTGGCTCATGGAACAAATTTCAACAAACTGACTTGTGGTTAATCTTAGAAACTAACGGTGGAAGTCATTTATTATTGTTTTCCGGTTTCAATAAAACTCTGGATTCTGTACTTTATGTCAAAGATATCTAAGTTGTATGTAATTACAAGAGAATGTGTTCAATATTATATCTTGGCAATTTGGAAACCTGTGTCAAGGACGTTTGGCTTTATTTTGATATATCTCCAGCCCACTTGTTTTAAAATTTTAGTTCATATTGCCCCTGAATCGAAATGAGGTTGACTCCCCTGGTCTAGAGGCTATAATAAAGTTGTCATCTGACTGATAATTTCCGATAATTACTGCCAGAGATATGGCCTTTGATCACTTTGAAAAATCTTGTGGACTCTCCAGAGGCTTAAGTTATCATCAGATTGACTTGAAAGTTATGCACGATATACATGATAGGAAGGAGTATATTTTGTTGCCTGGTGTTAAAATTTTCTCAGGAAATATTTCCTATGTTTTATTTTCATTTTATTTTTCAGATCAGCCAGGAGGAGCATGGTGAAAGAAAAAAAATTCCCTTCTGCTTGCAATCAGCTGTTTTATTACATTTGTGTGATCTCCAATTTGAACTACAGTCACAAGATTTCTACTACTGTGTGCGATTAAGTGAAAGTGTTGAACCAAACCTTGTTGTTAAATATCATTCTATCAATGGTGTGCAGGAATATCTCATAATGGAAGGTGAATACCATCACGCCTTCACTACGGATATCATAAAACGTATTCAGACGGCTAACGAAAGTGAAATAGTTGTTATATTACGAAATTGTATAGTGTCTGTAGCTGATGGAATAGAGCGCTTAAAATGGAATGAGGTAGCAGACGACAGAAGTGAGGATATAAAATCGACAAGTGCTTGTTCTCAAGAGAAGTCTATATCTAGTGATCTAGCTCGTGCAAAATTGAATGATTCCACTTCGAGTTGTGAAATATTTGAACAGTCTGGGAATAGCGAAACAACGATTGAAACCAGTAAGTGATGTGATAATTATATTCTCGAGTCTGTGAAATATTGTTGACTTAGCTCGTCAGTGTCCAATCATCTGGATAAATGGAAATTATGTATAGTCATGCATAAGATGAGGTCTTCATTTATGCGAAACAATGAATTACAGGATGGCATAAAATCTCCTCTTACACGTTTGTAACATTTTGGAGCAATTCTTGGTTAATGAAAGCTTTTAATTATACATATATTGATTTTGAGGAGCACAAAATTGTTCCTTTGATAGGGTTTTTGAAAAATAAATCCATTTGGTCTAATTTTAGATAATTTTATTTCAAATTAAAAGGAAATATAGCAAAAACTTACAGAATCAGTTTGATTGAAATGTCTGCTATGGCAGTTTATCTTTTTAGAAATCAAATTCTATGTCTGCATGTTAAAGCCTAATCAGTGTTTAAAAAAGCATTGGATTTCATAATGCTCAAATCTGAATAAACATTTGCCCAATATCATAATTAAAATTACACATTCTTCAATTTGAGAATATGTATATGATAATAATTTTTTATTGACAGAATGTTTAAATATTTAGACTAAGTTGCCAATTTTATCAAATCATTTTTATACGCCCACATTGAAATGTGGTCGTATGTTGTCGTTGCCCCCGTCCGTCCGGCGTCCACAAGCAACTGTGGACGCTCTAGAGGCTAGTATTAATATCCAATTGATTTTAAATTTATACACAGTGTTTAAGGTCATGAGACGAAGAATCCTATTGATTTTCAGCGATTTCCGATAATTACTGCCAGAGTTCTGGCCCTTTGTCACTTTGAAAAATCTTGTGGACGCTCTAGAGGCCAAAGTTAATATCCGATTGACTTTAAATTTATACACAGTGTTTAAGGTCATGAGACGAAAAAGCCTATTGATTTTCAGCAATTTCGGATAATTACGGCCAGAGTTATGGCCCTTGATCACTTCAAAATATCTTGTGGATGCTCCAGAGGCTAAAGATAATAACTGATTGACTTTAAATTTATACACAGTGTTTAAGGTCATGAGACAAGGAAGCCTGTTGATTCTCAGTATTTTCGGATAATTACTGCCAGAGTTATGGCCCTTTATCACTTCAAAAAATCTTATGGACGCCCTAAAGGCTAACGCTAATATTCGATTCACTTTAAATTTATACGCAGTGTTTGAGGTCATGAGACAAAGAATCCTATTGATTTTCAACAATTTCCGATAATTACTGCAAAAGTTATAGCCCTTGATCACTTTGAAAAATCTTGTGACGCTCTAGAGGCTTAAGTTATCATCCGATTGACTTCAGATTGATACACAGAGTCTAAGATCTTGAGACGAACAAGTATATTGATTTTCAATCAATTTTGATAACTTGAACAGCTAAATCCATGATAGTAAATGTTTCGTATACTAAACGTTAGCATTGGGCAGAACTTTTTAAAAACCAAACAAATTCTAATGATTTTCTGATAAATACTTAATGAGTTGTTACTCTTAATCAGATTTTAGTGTATTATAAATGTTTCATAACCGAAAAAAGCTTGACTGCCCGGACGATTTAGCTACTGTGGGCGTATATTTCGTTGCCTGGCAACCTATCTTAATGTCTTTACGAAACAGACCAAATTCTACATAATTTCCCCCAGGTTTTTTAGCTTTAGCAAGATTTAATGTGTTTTAGAGAAAGGATTATATTATGTTTGGAATTGATAAGATTATCAGATACTTATACCACATGTGAATTGACCTTCTGATTTCTGTATTCCATTCATTAAATCCTCTTTCTATCAACAGAAACAGGTAAAAAGGATGGCAAGTTGTTAGAACGTAGTAAATCCAGTGAATTTTATACAAGTCGTAAATTAGATCAACCTCAATCTGTAATGGATGTTGATTATGATGTTTTACAATCAGGAATAGCTGTTTTACCAGGTTTGTACTATAGTTAATTGATATCTATAAAGATGATCTCTATCGATTTTCAGCATTTTGCCAAATTTGTTCCACACTTATTGCCCTGGACTGACTAATTGTGGTTCAAAGTATATTGCCATACTCTACACAGAGTACAATGCTCGTTTGATTGTCTCAAAATTTTGATGATCAGTAAGTAATAGGGAAGAAAGATCCCTATTGAATTTTAGCATTTCACAAATGAAGTTCTTATTGCCCCTTAATTATAGATGCATGATCTGTTATGTTTATTGCAAAACTCGTAACCATCCACCAGATTATAAGTGTATTTCTTGATTGATTATCATAAAATTTCCAAGGAAAGAGAAATCTTATCAATCTCTAATATCTTCACATAAGTAATTCCAGCATTATTGCTCTTCACTTATGGAAAATATTTGCAAAAGTGATTTTGGAAGTTTCCCCTGACCTTCATGTACAAGGAAAAATCAGACAAAAAACATGGCCTTATATCTTTGAGGCTGAGAAATGAGTCAGACACTTTCGACAAGATGAATATGTGATGTGACTACATGTAGAGAGAATATAATATAAGCTGTTTTCAGCTTACAGTTCCCTCTATTATCTCATTTGCACCCACATTAATTCACCCTGTTTTAATAACAATTACTGATGTAATTTTAGAATTGAAATATGATTATATGTAGGCTATATTATTTTTATTAAACACTATGTCATTGTAATATACCGGTAAATCTAATGTAATGAACAGTATCTGTGTTATACATTCAGGATGTTATTATTTTGCTGTTGTAATTTGTCTAGGAAATAATGCTATTTTCTTTACAATTCTGATTCCACACTTACAAAATACACCCACCAGCATCCCACATTTTCTTTGTAAAAAGATCTCTCCCATTTCCAACGCTTTGACATTTTACATTGACATCTACAGTAGCTTGTGCTGTGTATGTACTCATTTGTATGCCATATTGCAAAGGTTACATAAGAAGACCTTCACTACCGCCTACTACCCTCAGGTCATGTTCAAGAAAACCGTTTACAATTGTGATTGTATTGTAATGTCATGTTAACATGAACCCTTCTCTAATTTTTATATTTATATAAGGGTTCAAGTTTTGAAATGTTACTGCCCTGGCAAAATGAAACTGGTTGAGATATCATGGTGCACATGATTCAAATCGTTATTATGCCATAGTTACCATAAGCTTTGGTTTGAGAGAGTTACATGTAACTAAGAATGTATAAGTAATATAAACTGACAGACCACTTAGACAATCAAGCTATTTGAATTCTGTATTTTGTCTGGGGATAACCGCTGTCTAGATAAATCATACAAGTAGAATATTATTGATTTCATATTAATGTTGGAACTGCAATTAGTCTGATCCTATTTATTAGTCAGTGTGCAGCCAAACTGCTTTACAAAACACAGACAATCTGAGAATACAGCAATAAAGTCTAAATTGTCAAAGTGACCTGCATTTTTATACGCCATTTTGTTTGTGGACACTCTACAGGTCACAATTCTTATCCGATTTTGATGAAACTTGAAATATAGGTTTATCTCCAAAAGAAATTGGATCCTTTCGATATTGGCATGAATCGGATCGAAACTTCATGGCCCCTGATTGTACAAAAATCCACGTTTTTAGCTTGTGGTCCCTCTAGAGGTCACAATTATTATCCTATTGAAAAAATGGTATGAATATATTACCGTTATACTATAATGAAGGTTGAGTATGAATTTCGTGAAAATCGAACCAAAACTGCTGGACTAAACGCTGCCCCTCATACGCAACTAGTGTAAAAATATGGTATATCAAGGTTGTGGACCCTCTAGAGGTCACAGTTTGGATCCGATTTGGATGAAACTTGAAATACATGTTTATAACCCAAAGATCTTGATTCCTTTCAATATTTGCGCATATCGGATTCTAACTCTAGAGGTCACAATTTTTATCCAATTTAAAAAAAAAAACGTTTGAATGTATCACTGTTACACCCTAATGATGGTTGAGTTTGTGAAAATCAGACCAAAACTGCCAGATAAAATGGCCGCCCCCCATACGCAAATAGTGTAAATATATGGTATATCAAGGTTGTGGACCCTCTAGAGGTCACAATTTTTATCCGATTTAAAAAAACTGTTTGAATATATCACTGTTACATCCTAATGATGGTTGAGTTTGAATTTCGTAAAAATCTGACACAAACTGCCAGACAAAATGGACGCTCCTTGTACGCAGATAGTGTAAAAGTATGTAATACCAAGGTTGTGGACACTCTAGAAGTCTCTATTTTTATCCAATTTTGATGAAACTTGAAATGTATGTTTATAATGTATGATCTTGGTTCCTTTCGATATTTGCACGTATCGGACTGTAACTTCCTGGATTATGGCCCCTGACTGTACGAAAAATCATGCTTTTAGCTTTTGGACCCTCTATAGGTCACAATTTTTATCGGATTTTAAAATGTGTTTAAATGTATCACTGTTACAGCCTAATAATGGTTGAGTTCAAAAATCGAACCAGTTGAGTTTGAATTTTGTAAAAATCTCACACAAACTGCCAGACAAAATGGCTGCTCCTTGTACACAAATAGTATAAAAGTATGTAATACCAAGGTTGTGGGCTCACTAGAAGTCACAATTTTTATCCAATTCTGATGAAACTTAAAATATATCCTTATATCCCAAATATCTAAGTCCATTTCCATATTTGTGCATATCAGACCGTATTGTCCTGGATTATGGCCCCTGGTTGTACGAAAAATCACTTTTTTTTTTTAGCTTGTTCTTTATCCATCTCCTGCAAAATGTGGGGGTATCTTGCCTGGCAACAGCTAGTTGGTAAGAAAAATAGATGGTACACAAAGAGTCAAATAATAGATTCATATATATTAATGCAAATATAGGAACATGAACTTGCCACAGAACAAGGCCTGCCTAACAGATGTGGCATCATGCGTCTTATGTGACACCCTTCTCTGTTCCAAGTCTTACCTTTAGGGAGGTAACAGTCAATCTGTAAGTTTAGCATACAAAAGTTTGGGGTCGGAACAGTCCTTTCTCAAAGCTAGCTAATGACAGTTATATGTGCATATATGATGCATCTTATATGAATACAGCTTTATATTTGTAGTACTCTGAGGACACAATATACTCACATACATCCTAGGATCAAACTCAAACTGGCATACATGACAGACCTGTGATCCTTGGGCCATATAAATTTCATACAATATGTTTCATATAGCATATCATAACCTAAATAATATATTAATCAGATTATAATATAATGTTTGTTATTACAGGATGTCGAGATGTAAATGGTGGTGCTGTAATATTAATGTTTACTGGCAGTACATTTTGGCATGATAGACATGTTGCCAGTACAGAACTAGCTCGATTACTCATGTATTTTTATACTATACCTAGGTGAATCAAATCTTCTTGCTTTTCACTTCCTCAATCGATCTGTTTATTTTTGATCAATTAAAAGACATTCAAAGTAAAAGAATAGAAGAATAATAATTAAAAAATTTGTCTATAGAAGTTAATAAAGCAAAGAGTTTGTGAGCATTTCAAAGTACAGCCAAACCTCATTATTATTCCACACATTTAGGTTCCCTAAAAAGTTGTGTATACTAACCAAATTTCGGATGGCTCTACCATGCCCAGTTTGTACAAGATTTGTCCCCCTTTTACAGCTTCAATTTTTGGTTTTCTGTCTGTAATAGCTTAGAATGTATAAAGACCTTCAGAGTTTGCGTTTTCTACTTTACAAAAACTAGCAAATGTAATTGCCATTTATTGAAAGAATTAGAGATTTTAAATAAAGAAATATTGAATTATGTAGATGATCAATATTCCAAAATTGTGATACTCTATCCATGACTATTGCATCTACCGGTAATTCTCAAATAGATAATTCACAAATTTTTGCTCAGCAGTAGTGCAAAACTAATTTTAAGTTGAAAAGAAGTTCAGAATCGAATGCCCTAAGAAAAAAGTGTGTGCTAAATGTGGGGTTTTACCGTGACTACAATTTATTTGTTATTATAATTTGCTCATACAACTGACGGTATCATCTTCTGTTTTTCTAACTGAATAATAAGGTTATAACAAGCTTAATGTTGTCACTAAATCAGAATTTCTCTTATTTACAGAATGGAGGTGAGAGAAAAAGAATTAACTATAGTAGGAGATATACGAGGAGCCACATCATCTATTATAAATATATTGTTAGAATCACTTTACCTATTTCAAGTAAGTTGAGTTTTTATCTAGATTTATGATTACTTTTGTTTTATTATCTATTGCTAAATTGACAACTTGATAACAATTAGATGATCTATAAAATGTATTGTGATCTTGAAAATGCTGTCTAAAGCACAATCAGGGGAGATAACTTGTCAGTGCTAACTCTTAATTTTACTTGTACATGTATTAGGTGGTTTCTATTGGTGGTTGTCTGTGATGACTTTTATAATTCCTAGTTATTGTTTTTGTTTATTCTTCAGGATAATATTCCAGAATGTAAGTCCATCCTCCATCTTGTCTGTGATAAAGTTACTCAGTCGTCAGTGCTGAGATCACCTGTTTATGATTCTAAATCACCTGTTAAGGTAATTCTTTTCATACATATATGTAAGACCCATTAAAGGGATATACTTCTTTCAATTTCCTTATTTATTGGTATTACATACATGTATATCTGGTTGTATTATATTTCTAAAGAATTTGAGATTTTATTTGAGAGAGAGAGAGAAATGGGGTTTAACGTCCATTTGAAACTACGCCAGTTGACTCAATGACAGGCTTTATGATACAGCACGCACATGCTAACCATGTGGCCATTCAACCCCCCGATTTTATTTGAGCTCAGTTTGTTTATTATATACCAAGGAACATCTTGTAGTAATGGTCATCACAAAGTAATTTTCGGCTGAACTCTAGAAATTTGAATTTACATGCGTAGCTCTCACAGGCTTTGAAGGTTCTGGATTAACAATAGAGCTTCCCCATAGTCTTCGGTTGTACAATATGTGGGAGTGACAGTGGCCCAGTGTATAAGGTGGGTTAGCTCACTAACCAGCAGGTAGAGTCCTAGGTTCGATCCTGATATTGCCCGAAAAAGTTCCCTTGGATTTTTTAGTGTGATTTCCCTTGATCAGGATGGAGGGCCTGGCAAGAAAAAGCATCTATTCTAGTTGTTGTGCAAGGTCGATTGTGTGCACGTTGGCGTGTATGTGAAAAAAAACCTTGACAGATGGAATTCGATTCAATGCAGGCTGAAACACCACTGTCCGAGCAAAATTTCCCTCATAACACATATACCTGTTTTCATTGTGATAAGCACAATGCTACCCATTGTTTAAAGTCATGAGACAGAGAAGCCTATTGATTTTCAATGATTTTCGATAATTACTGCCAGAGTTATGGCCCTTAATAACTAAAGTTAAGGTCATGAGATGAAGAAACCTATAGATTTCTGATAATTACTGCCAGAGTTATGACCCGTAATCACTTTAAACTATCTTGTGGACGCTCTAGATGCTAAATTTATGAGACGAAGAAGCCTATTGATTTTCAATTATTTCCGATAACTGCCAGAGTTATGGCCAATAATCACTTTGAAATATCTTGTGGACGCTTTAGAGGCTAAAGTTAATATCCGATTGACTTTAGATTTATACACGGTGTTTAAGGTCATGAGATGAAAAAGCGTATAGATTTTCAACGATTTCTTATAATTACTGCCAGAGTTATGACCCTTGATCACTTTAAAATATCTTGTGGACGCTTTAGGGGCTAATGTTGATATCCGATTGACTTTATACAGTGGTTAAGGTCATGAGACGAAGAAGCCTATGCAATGTTGTTGCATACCGGTTACATATCGTTTTTATACACCCACATTGAGGTTAAGGTCATGAGACGAAGAAGCCTATCAATTTTCAACTATTTCCGATGATTATGGCAATTGATATTAAATGTTTTGTATGCCATATGTTAGAATAGGGCAGAACAAAAAACCAAATGGGTTGTTACTCATAATCAGATTTTAGTGTTGTAAATGTTTTAATTTCTGACAAGAGAAAAAATATGCTACAACCCTTGTTCACTCCCCGGGCGACTTAGCTGCTGTGGGCATATGTTTGGTTGTCTGGAAACCTATCTTTGTTGATGCTTAAAATGCCAGAATTTCACTTAATTTCATAACACAATTTTTTCTGTGAACCCTAAATTCTTTTTATGTCTATTTAGCAAGTCCACTTATTGTTGCTACATTTTACCTAACCGTCAATTGGATTCAACTTTTTGACTAGTTGTAGCCAACTGTTCTTTAATTCTAAATTTGTTTTGTTTTAGATTGATTTGCTATCTTCCCAAGATCTGATTCATCGTTTTATTCATCCATCACAACTACCATCAGCTTTAGATGGTACATTTCCTTTCAGTCATACAGAATGGGTTCGATTTCGTATGGTAGGTTCACTTTTATTTTTAGCAAGATCAAGTTATCAAGATCAAGTTCTAGGCTTGCAATTGTAATTGTAAAATGTTTTAGAAGACTTTAGAATTATTCAGTAAATGTTTCAAAATTCTTTTTTTCAGAAATTGGAACCCTTTTTAAATTCATGCCGTGAAGTAGCCAAATTCCTAGTCAGCATAATGCAAGAAATATCAAGTGTTCAAAAATTGCCAAAAACTGCTCAAGAGGCTAGTCATTTAATAGAAGAACATGAAGAACGAGTTAAAAAAGCTTTTACAGATTCCAGATTAGTGGCATTACAGAATGATGGGGAAAACACCATGTGTTCATTACGACGTGAACAGTCTTCCAGTAATCACTCAGAAGACTACAGGTAAATACATCATGTTTATGTGAATTATCAGTTGTTCCAGAAAGAATAAGCTTGCCATGCCTTGCAAAACCCTAAGCTAAAATAGGACCAGTACTTACAGTGCAGATAGGTGCATTAATTGTATTAGGTAGTGTAGACTTTTACTTTCTAGAACACCTCATAAAAACACATCTCAAAGAAATTTGTGTTGTACTTTTGTAGCCATGCTTATAGTGCAAGATAAAATATACATGCATATAATATATGAAGGTATTATGGTAATACTATCAAACGTATCTAATTTTTTTAAAGAGATTCCATTGGTAGAGAAAGTATGCTACAGTAGGTTATCTCAAATTAACGCAAGAATTCCTTACATATCACTACATGCTAAATATTTTATGTTATAGAATCTCCCCCTTTTTCCCAAAACCTTGTGAATGTAGGTTTTCTCTCTGTCCTCCTGTTTCCTGAAACAGCAAAAGTCCTCTACGCGCAAGCAAATTATTGAAATAAAATTGAATCATTTCTTTGTCCTGAAATAGATCTAGTTTGTGTTGAGTGGACGTAAAACCCCATTCCTCACTCACTCTTTTCCAAATCTGATGCACTTGATATGAAAAATTCTAAGCAAGCATTTGAAGGGAATGACAGTTTCAGTTTTTTTGGAAGACTGAAGGTTGAACAATGTAAAACTTTCATCAGTTAATTCTTGTAAGAGGTGATAACTTTTTGCAAGTTTATGTTTGGGCCCCACAAAACACAACAGGTGTGCACTTATTGGTTATTATATCAAATGTGGTATAACCATCATCCAATTTATTGAAACAGCATCTATAAACACAAAGAACATAAACAATTTGAATGTGTAAATCATAAAAATTGTTCCTAGAGGTAGCTTATTTTTTTTTGGCAAGTTACATTTTGTATTATTAAATGTAAAGAAGTTTAAATAAACCAAAACGGTAAACTCTTTGCATTATAACACAAAACAATGTATATTGTACTTCAATGCTAAGGGATATTACGAGATAACTATACAATAAAACACAGACAGAACAAACAACACCTGAACATAGTACATTTCACAATTAGATACGTATTCTTGGAGAAGATAGAGAAATGCCAAAAAAAAAAAAGTTAACAAAAATGTGGTCTGAAATCTACATTGAAATCTACACAATACAGTCATATCTTTAACTGACATACTAACTGTAATTAATACGATGTTATTGTGTTAAATTTGTTAGATTTCACTTAAAATTACATGTAAGGTTTTCCAGAATGATTTTGTTGTGAGACAATCAAATTCTCAGTATTTTCGAGTACATATTTATTAAATGCACAGGAGACATCTCTGGTGAATATTTGTACAAATTTCTTTTAATTATTCTGTGTATGAGTTGTACTGTCTGAAACATGAGTTGCTCACTAAACAAATATAAAATGTTATTGATGAATGGACACCATTGTTGTTAAGTCAGTTTCACCTAAATTGTGTTTTTTCCTGGCTTGTTGCTACAATGTTATTATGTTTAGTCCTGACATCCTCATCATAGGATTGGACTAATCTCGGCCATATCCTACCTCAAATACTATGTCTTTTTTATGACTGTACATGTACTATTTACAACAAATTCCTAGAATAATGTATGAAAAAGGCTGTCTTAGTGATACATAAAAACACTTTTTGGAGTAAAAATTCTTTTTATATCCGAGTAAGACATCTATATATTTAGCCATTCCTAAAAACTACAGACATCAGAAACTTACAAATATGACACATTCTTGCAGGACTTATTTTCGTGTTACCCTTGTTTAAAAAAAGACAAAAAAAACAGTTGAAACAGAGGTTGTATCAATATTGTTTACAGAATATAAAGTTCTTGTTGTTTTTAGCAATTCCTGTCTTTTTGTTATTTTGAGTCAGACTTTGAGTGGTCACGTTGATGATGTTGATAAGTGACTGTCCCGTTTAGACTAAGTAAATTTTGTTAATCGGACTTATTGACTATGGAGTTATAAGACTGTTTACTATTTGACCATTTCTGTTCTTTCCTGCCAAAAGAACACCTTGTATTGAACCCGTTTATTTACTAGTATTACAGTGACACAACTAGTTTGTCCTCTTACTCTTTTTTTTTACTGTTGCCAAATCTGAAGTTTTGTACTTTCAAAGAAAACTTTGTTCTGGAATGGTCATGTCAATTGAAGATTAATAATGTTTAACTAAACTGGCCTATATACCGGTATTTGGGTATTATAGTGAAATGTCTTAAATTTTGGGTTGTTACAAATCTGGGGTAAAAACACTATATGATATCTTTAAGTGCTAATTACTTGCTGATACCCATGAACATTTGTAAAATGGAAAATCTCTTTCAAAAATAGCATTATGCCACATTGCTCACTAATTTTAAGACAATAGAGTCTATGATGTTTATTAAAAAATGGTAGACTTTATTATATAATGATAGTGAATATTGAGTATTACGACCTGTTGACAGAAAGTAAAGGGTCAGTGTCCAAATCGTGAATTTTGATTTCACCTTTCTTTGTATATATTTGTCAAAAGACATTGTTACCCCATTAGCAATGAAATATTTCATCCCCACATATGTTAGAGTACAGTGAGGTGACGCTGGAGAAAATTATGAAGAACTTGACATGAGATTAAGTTCTTTTTTTCTCAAGTTTCAGTTTTTTATACGCCCACATTGAAATGTTGTGGTCCCTCTAGAGGCCACAATTTTGATCCGATTTTGTTAGAAGTTTAAATTTGTATTTATATCACAAAGGTCTTGGTTCCTTTTGATTATAATCGCGCATATCCGAACATAAATTCCTGGATTATGGCACCCGATTGTTCGACAAATTGCATATTTGGCTTGTGGACCTGCTAGAAGTCAAAATTTGTATTCTATTTTAAAAAAACGTTTAAATATATCACTGCTACACCATATTGATGATTGAATATGAATTTCGTAAAAATGAGATCGAAACTGCCTGACAAAATCACCGCTCCTTGTAGCAAATAGTGTTAAAGTATGTAATACCAAGGTTTAGGACCCTCTAGAAGTCACAATTTTTAGCGGATTTTGATGAAACTTAAAATATGATTATATCCCGAAGATCTGAGCCTCTTTCGATATTTGCGCATTTCAGACCATAACTTCCTGGATTATGGCTCCTGATTGTACAAAAAATCAGGGGTTGTTTTGTTTTAGCTTATTCTCTATCTCTTACAAAATGTGTCCGTATCTTGCCTGGCAACCGCTGGTTTAGATAAAAATAAGTATTGAGAATGACCTGATTAACCATGAAGGAATATGTTTTTAAAGAAACAATTCAAAGATTCAATCATTTCTGTTCTGTAATTAAAATATATACAAAACATTACCACCAGTCTACTAATTGACACTGTGTTAATTGTATTTTACAAATATTTTCTAGGGACGGGTTTAAAATACATTTTGTTTTTGAAAATCAATATAATTGGGAATCTTTCGATCTTTTATTTATCTTTCAAATTGATTAAGACTTATCTGTTCTGGGTTGTTTACCTGGAAAACAAATTACCATCAATTGGGTACAATTTCTCTGCTATCAAATAAGATGGAATTCTTTCCATTGTTATTGTTCTAGGGTGTAATGTCACGAAACTGTCTCCGTTTTATCTGAAATTCACATTTTGTTTAATCTTATGGATTCTTCTATTTTCCCATCTGCTGCTGTTGTGTGATATTGGGCTAGTTTTCTACTTTAAATATTTCTACTTTTTATCATGATTGCACATTATTCAAACAGATGAAGAACACTTGTGTTTCTTTAAAAATTAATGATGTTTTTGTTGTGATACATAAACATATCCAGTTTGGGGGTTCAGCTATTATAATATGTATTATAGCAAAGATTTCTCACTTTTATTTATTTAATTCTTTATAGCCAATTTTGTATAAAATGTGTGAAATACATTCAAATTGTTGTTCTGTGCATAGTTTTTTTTTAAAAACGATTTTCAATTTTGAGTCTCCGAATTCGACAATATTGAATATCAGGTGTTAAGTTTAAATAAATCACATTTATTTAAATATTTATACAAAGATTGAAGTCAACAAACACATGGTACAAAACAAATAACAAATTTCAAAAAAGAGGAAAACTGTTTTTGATCTAATTTTGAATTCAAAGAGTAACGCTGACATTTTATTTTTCTTCTCTTTGAAAAAAGATTTCTTTTTATTATTATTACCATAGTGAATTGAAATACACTGAAGGACATCTTTCCTATTCCTCTGCACTCACCTCTCATTGTGATTTCTGAGCATGTTAATGGAACTGTTTACTGTCCATGTGTATATTATTAATACTTTGTTTCTTCTTAATTAATTTTTTTTTCCGTTTGAATTTCTTATACCGTGTCATTCCTTTTGTATCCACTCCAGCCAGATTTTATGGAAATTATGTTCACTAGCTTTGACTTACCTTGTGGGTTTTCTTGGGGTTCTTGTGTTTTCTTATCTTGCTAATGACTCCTGCAAGAAATATTGAAATAAAAGTGTACCATAATGTTTGTCCCAAAATTACTTAGTTTTTCTCTTTCTCCTTCTGTCCAGTCTTTGGAAAGGGGACAAAATATAAAAATTATAACATTACTGATCCACAATTCATAATATAGTTTTTGTGCCTCTTAGAAATTAGATAATCTCCCATGAGTATTCTTAGATTTTGAAAACAAATGCACAGTATCTCGGTAACCATTTGGAAACACATCAGATACGGTATGTTTGCTAATTTTAGAAACTTCTTTTGTATTGTTAACTTCATGTCTGTTAGACAAGTATTGGTTATTCATTAAAAGTAGCATTAACGAAATCAACACATGGAAGAACTACACCAGTCTCAAATCAACGGAAAATCTATTTCAGTGGAAAATTCATTGTGAACAGTTTCAAAATGATATAAATCTGTGCACAGTACAGAAACAACATATAATATTATCTCAAATCTTGACAGTAAGACATCTACAGTACTTGCCCTATTAAATGTAAGCGCTGCAGTTGACACATCGACCAGGTCATTCTTATCCAGTGCCTTTTCACTCAGCAGTAGGACATTAAACCTCATTTCATTTTATGGCCTAGGAAAAGTTTTGGAATGGTTTAGCTTCTATCGAACCCAGTTGGTACTTTGTAGTCAATGGCGACAACTAATGTTTACCATGTTCTCTTGCATTTTGTTTTCTTCAAGCCTCGATCTGTGCTGGGATCTGTTGTTGTTTACTGCTATATTACACCAATTTGTGACATTCTTCGAAAATACACTATTGACTTCCATCCCTTCCATCCAGCTCTATTTATGATTAAAAGGGAAAATGAATCTGATCAGGTGGATAAAATTCAGCAGTGCATAAGTGATATCAGAAACCCAGTGTAGAAGTGACATCAGAAACTGGATTAAACCCAATTTCAATTTTCTAAAACTATATGATGATAATAGTCTGGAGGCTCAGTGCGGGGAGGGGGTGTCCATCAAATGGGCACAAAACCAAACCCATCTTTTCCATAGTAAAATTTTGTGTAGAATACGTTGCCGAGTGGTAATCAGTCCGCCGATGGGGTGTTTTTGAGATATTCAGGGTCAATGGTCAAATGAGGTCATTTGCACTGAAAATGAATGTGCAGCCATTCTTGTATCAAGAAAACATGCTGAAAATGATCGAAAGTAATCACCCTTTCAATAAAAATGTAAACTTGCTAAATTCACCTTTGTTCTTTGTGACCTCGAAGGTCAAAAGGTCAAATTTTCTGTTTTTGCACTAGGAAGATTTAAAGCAATAAAATGTCAGTGTAAAATATAAACAGTAAAGCGAAACCTGTTCTAATTAATAATTTTCTATTTTTCTTCCTTATCGCTTCTTTTTCTTGACAGAATAATAGATAGCTTTAGAAATCTGGTACTTCTCCTTGTAAGGGTTCAGAAATTTGTTTTTGCTTCCAGACTCTTGCAGATTCATGTGTGTTTTGGAAGACTGTAACACTTTTTATTTGTTTATTATTTCCAGATATGCCATGGAGAATGTTGATTGTCTGTTTCATCAACTTCAGGACACTATGATGAAATTAGTTCATCTTGCTGACACTCGTCTTAATAAAATAGAACAATGCTTACAGTTACGTGAGTTTGAAGAAGAATGCTCCAAGGTATTTTACTAAAAAATATGTCTATTTAATTTCAATAAATATTTTGGGAATAGTGGGAATATTTTTATCTTAGTGTAAAAAAAATAACAAAAAAGAAAAGCAAATTACAAAGACAGTATGTGGATATGTACTTTTTTCTTGATCTATAAATTAATATTTTTACACTTTATAATGAATATTTTTATACTTTAAAATGAATATTTTTATACTTTATAAATGTATATTTTTATACTTATTTAAAATAGATGCCAATGAAATAAGCTGAAAATGACATTTTAAGATAGAGATAATTAGTTAAATGAATCACATTCTACGTGCCTTTAGTCGGCGCATGATTGGTTCATCAGCAAATTGTTTAATCTAAAACTGTTTTTTCCATGTAACCACAACTTTGTGATGGGGCATATTAATTATTAAGATATTTCCTTTTTGTAGTAGTTAAATCTTATCTGTTATTATTATTTTCTGTGAAATATTAGCAGAAACACATATGGCTGTACTTTATGATAATTAAAATAATATTTTCTTATAGGTAATAACATGGTTGACAACAGAAGGCAACACAACATTACAGCGGCATATTGCAAGAGCAGATAATCTGAAAGCTATTCGGTTGCAGCAAAAAGATTTTGAGAAGTTTTACTTTTCCTGCATGGTTAGTACATAATTATTTTTATACTCCCACATTTTCATGCGGGCATAAATTGCTGTCGCCCCTCTGTCCATCCGGACGTCCATCTAGCCGTCCACATTATTTGTCGAAACTTGAAATATATAAGCTTATATCCCAAAGATCATGATTCCTTTTGATATTGGCATGCCTTGGACCGCAGCTTCATGGATTATGGTCCCTGATTGTATGAAAAATCTAGTAATTACTTCATGGGTTATTACTCGTAATTAGATTTTCATGTGTTGTATATATGTTCTCATTACTGACAAATGAAAAAATATGCAACAACACTGGATGACTGTCCGACGACTTAGATGTTGTGGGCGTATGTTTCGTTGCCTGGCAACCTATCTTTAAATTATTAGTAACTTTAGAGTTCATTCTGTGTGTAAAAAAAATAAGGACTTCTTTCAATGTAAGCTGTATTCTTGACTTGTACCTCTGTACCTGAGCCCCCTGATAGCCTCCTGGTACCCGAAGTTGACAAAAGATTTTCCACCCTTTTGCGATCTGTTTTGTTGCTTGTGAAAGTGAATTCTGTCACCGGTAAAGATTACAGCCATTGTCACATACTGATCGTTGGGTAAAGAAATAAAAGATACTTAACCAGAAACGGAAGATAGATTGTCTGCTTGATGCCAAGTAGCATTAACTTCACCTAAGTTGTGTTTTTTACCCTGAAATCTAGACTTCTTCAAATTGCTGGAAAAAAATGGTGAATTTTAACTTTCAGAGATCTGTCTAGACATGCAGATTTATTTTAATTGAAGTTCAAAGTAACCTCACCAAATAGAGAGTTTTGGTATTGTGTTGAGTTTATTTTTTGGTGCGAAATGTGTGTGAAGAAAAGGGTACATGCAAAGGATTTAATTGTGGAAAATCAAAAGCATCCTTTGTGCTTCATATTTGTTCAATCAATTAGATTCTGTAAATTTAGATAACCTTTTGTTGTTTAGAGCAAAATTTAAAGAAACCTTTATCCATGGTATTTTGCACTTGGATTCTTTATGCCTTTATAAAAAAAGTTGCATTAGGACCAATTAAAAATAAGTAACTTGATTATTATCAAATTTTGATTTATATTTTAAGTTCTAATAATTTTTTTAATTTTGAGAATTACAAAATTTGTAAATTTCCCACTCCTTGAAGTAAGTTCTCATAGAATATTATAAAGGAAGTTTAGACCTAGATAAGGTTAATCTAGATTATATTTGATATCATTTTACTGCTATCTTATGTTTGTATACAACACATAACTCTAGTTTGAAATAGGGTCATAAATTCATTTGAAATTCTTCAAGAACTTTGCACCTAATGTTTGCCACTATTGTTGATTTCACTTGGAAGTCTTTGTTTGTTCCACGCGCACCTGGAAAAAAACAATATTGTTGCATTATATTTACTTTTTCATATTTCTTTAAGATAACAAAGTGTTAGGTCTGTTGAAATGATTATGCAGCTATATTTGAAAGCCATGGGAGAAACTTTAAGCAGTTCATAACATCAGATGTAGTTTATAGTAAAATATATGTATGTTAGGTTTATTGATGGACCATTGAAGAATGTAACATATTTTGTTTTTATTTCAATATTGAAGTTATGCTTTGTTTTACCACATTTGGCAGACGGAATATCCGTGCCATGTGTTCCAACTATAGCTAGCTTAAAACACTGGTGCCAAATTCTTCTACAATTTCTCATCAAACACAAACATTTCATTGCTTTTGAAAAAAAGAATTTCACATTCAAACGAGAGACATTCAATAATGTTTATCTGTTCTTTTAAAGGGAAACTTTTGTCTTTGAACAATTTGCATTGTACATTTTAGTTTTTAAAATCATATTCATGTATAAACATTATATCAGTCAAAATTGATATACTGTTCTAGAATAAAATGGTGACAAGATGGACTTATTAAAAACTAAGCAACATTCATATCAACATCCATCAAATATGGAGAAAACTGATTCTTTTTATTTATTATGATGATTTTTACCTGCTATACTTTTCTGAATTAGAATGTCATGCAGTCGTCATAGAATTTTAGACCATGAGAAAATTCTGTGTTAGAATCTACAATGTTGATTCTCCAGGTTTTCAAATATCAGGAGTAGCAAGGGCAAGCTAGTTGGCAAGGAACAGTACCTTGTCATTTGAACAGGGAAAATAGACAATACATTTAAAGATCCACGATGCCACCCATTCAAAATTCTATACCAATTTGCATATATTCAAAATGACTAAGGTATTGTTTGAAGCAACCCCAAAATATATTTTCCCAGGTGGAAATTAAATTTGAATGACTTAGAAATAATTTTTACCACTACAGCACTATATTTATCCTTGGGTTATTTTACCTTGTACATATATTTATAAGCTGTTAAAACATTGACAATTCCAACTACAGATTAAATGCTTATGTTATAAAATATATAGGCTATTTTTCTATGTGTTTATAATAAGATTAGTGTTTAGATGTTAAAGGTCTGATTTAATACAGATAAAATAAACCGTTGTTGATTTATAAACAGACACAGTTTGATTTATCATCAGCCTAGTTTTAGAAGTTTTTCCTCTGAGTTATCCTCCATGGGAAAATTCTGGTTTACCACTTTCTGGTTTCTGAAAAAAAAAATTCTGTGGTTGTGTTGTGTCCGATCCAAATCATAAATGGTGGGAAAAATACATTATTCTGGAACTCTTAAAGACTATATTTTAAAGATTAAAAATAAATCTCTAAACAGTTAGATAAGAAATGCATAAAATTTTAACACAGTTTTAATTCTTGAAAAAAATAATTATGTATGTTTATTTTGTATTCATCGATGAATGCATTGTCAACAAAATGACAAGCATTAGGATATTTTCTTAAAAATAAATTGCGTTATAATGCTATGTATTATTTAAAACAAAAACAGATAAATATAGACTGGATGTATGCCTGAAAATAAATTGTGTAGTTGATTCATTTTTAAATAAAATCTACTAAATCTAGATCAGTTGGTTTAATGCACGAAAACATTCAGTTTGCTCACGTTCCTCACTATGGCTGAATGGTTAGCATGTGCGCACTGTACCATAAAGTCTGTCATTGAGTCAACTGGTGTGGTTTCGATTCCCCGGTTATACGTGATGAGGAGTAGGGTCGCCTGTCCAACCTCGTGGGTTTTCTCCGGGTCCTCCGGTTTCCTCCCACTGCTAAAGAACCCTACACGCAAGCGAATTATTTCTCTCTCTCACTAAATCCATTAATCAGTTGAAGGAAAGGATTGGTGGGGTCAAATGGTCTAATGCTTGTGTTTAATCATAAGTTCTGTCAAGTGGTGTGGTTTTGATTCCCCGCTTGTACATCTCAAGGTGTAGGGTCGCTTGTCCTACCACATGGGTTTTCTCTGGCTCTTCCAGTTTCCTCCCACTGCTAAAGACCCCTATGCGCAAGCAAATTATTGAAATTAAATTGAATTATAATATGTTAGTCCCGAAATGACCTAGTCAGGGGCGGATCCAGGAATTTTTGCAGGAGGGGGTTTGCCAGGCTCCTGAGACAATGTTTGTGGACACTCTAGAGGTCACAATTTTTATCCGATTTTAAAAAACCTTTGATTATATCACTGTTACACCCTAATGATGGTTGGATTCGAATTGTGTGTAAATCGGACCATAACTGCCGGACAAAATGGCCAGCCCTCGTATGCAAATAGTGTAAATATATGGTATATCAAGGTTGTGGACCCTCTAAAGGTCACAATTTTGATCCGATTGTGATGAAACTTGAAATATGTCTTTATAACCCTGTTCCTGTCGATATTCAAGCATATTGGATCATAACTTCCTAAATTATGGCTCTTGATTGTATGAAAAATCTATTTTTGTTTAGCTTGTTCTCTTTCCATCTCCTGCAAAATGTGGGCTTATCCTGCCTGGCAGCTGCTGGTCTGATTTTGATGAAACTTAAAATATATGTTTATATCCCAGAGATCTTTGATGAGTTCAATTTTGGTGCACACTTCCTTTTATGCAAAATGTGAAATATGTACAAAGTTTGTGGACCCTCCAGAGGCAACACAATTTTTGTCCGATTTAGATGAAACTTAAAATATGTTTTAAGCATCAAAGGTTGGTTCTTGGATAAGTTCACTTTTGGTGCACATCAGACCTTCCGTTCGGGATTTATACCCCTTGCCTTTTATGTAAAATGTGAAATATTTACAAAGTTTGTGGACCCTCCAGAGGCGACAATTTTTGACTCATTCAAAATATGTGTTAAGGATCAAATTTTCCATGCTTTTTTATGCAAAATGTGAAATATTTATGAAGTTACTAGATCCTCCATGGCTACAATTTTTGTCTTGATTCCTATAAACCTTAAGATATATAATAGGGATCAAAAAATCTTGAATAAGTTTGGTTTTGTTGAGTATCAAAACTCCCTCAAATTGGGACAATGAGAGGATGAGTTTGATTTGATTGTGCTTCAGACTTTCCTTTCTAGAGTTATGACCCTGTGAAATATGTATGAAGCTTGTAGACCCTCCAGGGGCTACAATTTTTGTCTGGTTCAGATGTTAGGGATCAAAAGTTCTTGAATCGGTTCGATTCTGGTGCGCATGAAGAATTGGGACAATGAGAAGTTGAGCCCTATTGATTTCCCCTGTTCTCCGTCCATCTTTGCAAAATGTGAGCAATCTTGCATGGCAACCACTTGTTTAAAAATATGAAAAAAAAGTGAAATTATTGTTTCCATTTTAACATTCTGTTTAAAAAATAAAATGGAAATTTTAGATGATGTGGTTTTTGTTCTGCATACTTCTCAAATTAACTTTGTTATATACTTAAACATACATTATGCAAGAGCCAAATCTGCCTATTAAAGGTCTTTCTTTAGGCTTGAAATGTTATCTAAATTATTAATTAGACATTAATTAACTTATCCAGACCATAGCCAACTCTCGAAGGTCATCACTAGCCTGCGATATTTACTGGATTAGGATCCGATCTGCTGCTCTACGCTTATTCATGATTAAATCAAGAAATGGATAATCAAGACTGTATTTTACTGTACCGACTTTAGTAATGATGATTGAGGCTAGGCCCAAAATTCAGTCGCTAAATTCTCGGTTCAGAGTGGATCAATTATTTAGTTTTTAACTATTATAGTGAGAACTGCCAGTTCTTTAATTAATCTCCCATAATGTCTCTTTAAAAAAAAAATCATAATACAAAATTTTATTTACAAAAATGTACTTAAAGATCTAGTAGATGATATACCTATAAAATTGTTGTTTTTTTTCAGCAATATATTGATAAAGGAAACGATTTATTAGAAGAAGCCAGTATGTTAAGTCAGACTGGTAATTTTGATGAGGCAACAGGGTACAAAGATTTGGCAAGAATGCTCAAAAAACATCTTCATACTTTTTCTAACCAACTTGAAGACAGAAGAGAGAAAATAGAGGGCACGGCCAAGTGTTATCAACTTCTTGACAAGGTAGGTTACTTAAAACATTTTTGTTGGAAAAACCAAAGAACATTTTTCTTTAAAAAAAAATGTTTAAGAGATATGTCCATATAAATTAGCATTTGAACTATTAGATATTTGGTTTATATTTATACACTAGTGTGTTAAAATAAAATCTGTAGTGAAGGACCTCTAAAGAGATTTGACACTAATAGTCAAAAGTTTTTTTTTTCCTTATTTTTTCTTTTAGTTTTTATGTAGAAACACATATAACATACAATTATTTAATTTGATTTATGAAAGAGACTAAATTGTATTTTAATGGTTGGTTTTGTAGTTTTAACAAGGTATTGGAAATTGTCCAAGCTTGGTGATTTTAATTTGGCCATATATTTCTTAATCCATAATGAATTAAGCTTAATTAATAATATTTGCTACCTGCAACATTTACTGCTTTAAATATTTAATTTTTTTTTTTAAAAACTTTGTTTATTACTAAATGTCACAATTCATGGACTTAGTAAATTTGAATCTTTAAATATTTAATTTTTTGAAACTTTGTTTATTACTTAATGTCCTAATACATGGGCTTAGTAAATTTGGATCTTTATTTAAAGAATTTATTTTTATATTGTAACAAATTATTAAATAACCATCTCGAACATTGTTGTGTATTGAAACTTAATGTCATATCCATACTTTGGGAAAAAGCACCTTTTGTTCTTGAGCAGCCTCTCTGTGATTTGCTTTGAATTAACAAGATTAAACATTGGCTAAGAGTGAAGGCCTCCATCGGGATTTATTATGTCAACATATCAATTGTAGCCAGCACTTGAAATTTTAGCTTTGATCAATACGATGGATAGGTTGGTCACAAGTTAAAAAAGCTGTTAGTTGTGAGTTGAGTTTGTCAAGTGGATGCGGTTGTGGTTTGATTTTCCAATCTTTCTCTATGAATTATCATAGACCATTATCTTACTACGTTTGGATTATATTAGAATTAATTAAAAAGGTAGAGTGCAGATTTAAGAGTTTTAGAAAATTATTCAACACAGTTTCAAGTCCATTCAAGTATTCTGTGTCAAAAAGCAGGTTTTCTTTAAATATATATAGATATATTTATTGTACTGTTTTGTTTGAAAAAAAAAAGACATTTTCCTTTTAAATTGTTTGGCATTTTTGGAGGAGATTATTTATCAACATTAAATTGATTCATTTCTGCAGTTAAAAATACCTTATGATATAACATGTTGTGTTTTCTTCTTTCCAGAGTTATGAGTGGGCTTTAGAAGCCATGAAATACATTGCCAGTATGAAAATGGAACATTGTGCTAGTCCAGCAGGACTTGATAAACTGTTAAAAAGTCTAGAGGCTTATCTGCTGGAACATCCACCATTAACAAGTGATATTTTTGACCATATGATAGAAGTTACTCAAAGACTTCAAAATGACAAATTACTAGACCAGTGTCGCCTGGCAAAAGCTAGGTGTGAGGAAACCTATCATTTACTTTTATTGCGACAAAATACTTTACAACGAGCGCGAGACCAACTTACTGTAGACAATAAAACAAAGTCAGACAATTCTCATTCAATTGACCCCGATTCTGTCATAGAAATTAACTCACAGAGTTTCTGGGAACCACAAATGACAAGCACTCCAACTAGAGGAATTACATTTATTGCAAAATCCAAAGATCAGAGGCGTTCTTGTTCACCATCCACAAGCTCAAGTTCTGGTTCTCGTGATTATACTAGTACTTCAAGCACTTCATCTAATCAAATGGCAAGACAGAGTAAGGAAAGTGGAATTGTTGTATCTCAAGATAGTTGCGCGGGTAGTGATATCAGTATGGAAAGTCTCCATCAAAAACTAACTATGTCCACATCCATGCCACAGCCAGGAAGTACTTACACAGAGAGAGACAGGCCCTTAAAAAAATTATTAAAGAGAACAATTACATCTCCTGTTCCTATCACTGGTTCACCAATTTTAGAAGACAGAGTTAGTTCATCAAGTGATCCCCGATCAATCCGTGAAAGACGTTCGGGAAAGTCTGTCAGTATGGTTACTGGTAGCTCAGAAAGTCTTCCAAGGTAAGATTTAAAAGTGTACTTAAAACTACTTATTTGCTCAAATTTATGTGTCGGTTATAGTCAGCACACTATGCTTTACCAATTTCAATTTCACTTCAAAATTACAAAACATGCAATCTTGACTAATAATCCAACATAGTAAAAACATGATTTAAATCTTATATCCACAAAATAGGTCTCAAGTTTGTTTTCATGCTTTACTATAAGTAGACCTATATTCCAGTATCAACTCATTAAACCTCCAGTAATAAAGTTTAGAAAATTTTTGTGTAGAAAAATATGTTAACCATGAACACAAATGGTAATTTCATAAAATTCATGATACAACTATTATTGGAAAATTGTCTTGGTAAAGTTTGATCTTAACTTAGACATGAAATTTTTCAAGATACTTATTGATGAACAGACTAAGGTTACAATAGGCTATCTGTCAACAAGTCAAACTTTAAAGCCATTCTTAAGCCTATACATTGTAATTTTTTTTATCACCTTTCTTGATAATTTAATTTTGAGGTATTTTAAGCCTGGGCTGGTATACCGGTAACTAGTAATTTAGCCGCTTGAATAAACACCCTTGATGTTACTGTTAATGTAACAAATGTTCATACAGTATATTGTTATATTCCTGCGTGTAACAGTGCCACTAAGCAGCACCCATAACTCTCCTAATTGAGCTAGAATGTTCAAACTTGGTGTAGATGAGCATTTACTGGTTAGGGTAAGCAGAGATAAGCAATTTGATGGGTTGATGCTTTGGGACACAATAACTTTAGTTCTGATTAAGTGAGAGTGATCAAACTTGGTGTATAGTTTCATTACATCAAACCTTGACTGAGTGCGATAATGAACATTTTCTGCTCAGGGTATGCAGAGCGATAAGCAATTTGATTGGTCGGGTCTTTGGAACGCAATAACTCTCCTTCTAATTGAGCAACAATGTTCACACTTGGTGTAGGTGTTTATTAGGTGAATGCCTTCATGGAGTTCAAAGATGAGAATTTTCTGCTATGGGTAAGCAGAGATAAACATTTCGATTGGTTGATGCTTTAGGACGTGATAATTAAGTGAGAATGATGAAACTTGGTGTATAGTTTCATCACATCAGTACCTTGACTAAGTTTGATAATGAACATTTTCTGCTGAGGGTAAGCAGAGCGATAAGCAATTTGATTGGTCGAGACATTGAAACACAAAGGCTCCCCTTCTAGAGACAAGGTTAGGAATTAGCCATAAGTTGGCCTAAATGAGAGAAGTCCAAATTATACTAAATGCATATTTATTAACAACAAATTACAATTATTTTATAATATATTATTGAAGACCGGACAGGTGTTTATATACATGTAGGTACAGGAGTTTTATCGAGAATCAAATTGCCAAGTATAAGTTCAATAATAGTAAACGTAACAGAATGAAATATTTCAAAGACCGAATAGTAATAATAACAAATGTCAAACATATAGATGTTATACATATTTGAAATCAGCGAAACATACTACAAATTTTGATAATACAATTAAATATAAATAAATTAGTAATATATACATTATTTACATAAATCATTCAGTAAATGGACATGAATATGGTTATCTACCCTTATGAAAGCAAATGGGAAATGACTGGTTTGTAAACTGTTTTTGGATTGGTTCGTAGACTTGATTGGTTCGTAGACTTTCGCAACAATCAAGGCCAGGGCAGATAATTTGAAATCGTGGAAACACTATGGATTAACCCAGGGTATAGTGGAGTAGAACGGAATGAGCTAGGAATACCGAGGATAGGTCAAAAGCCGCTTGTATGACCCCTGACGCAACCTCCCAGTACAACAGGTCAGATCTTCATGTAGTTTAATTTTCACTTGGATCATTCAAATAGTAGGTTTTGCAGTAAACCATTTCTTATACATCCATGTGTGTGTATCTGCCATTCTTTGAGAAAATATGAATATAAACCCTGTTTGAAAAGCTAATTAATAACTGTAATATTTCTGTTGCCCTTGCTGTTCTATCTTCTGAATCGAGAAAGGTGTTACTCCAATTAAGCTTATATTGTTTGTCATCAGGCAAACATGTAATTTTCTTACTTGAGTACTGGTATTTGATGTAAATAAGGTAAATTACGAAGCCTGCATTCAGCCAAGATTTATAGTAGGATGTTCTTAGATAATATTTCTTTAAAATATGGCTCACTGACCATAATATGTGGAACAAATCTCTAGAATTTTACACACCATCAACGCCTAAATTCATGTTAATTTACTGGTATGTAAGAGTTTACATTCTAAATGGTTCGTTACATTTTTATACGACCACATTGAAATGTGGTCGTATATTGTCATCATCTCGTTTGTCGGTCAGTCCGCCCACCTAGAGGCTAAAATTATAGCCCGATTGACTTCAAACTTATACATAGTATTTATGGTCATGAGACAAAGAATCCTATTGATTTTCAGCAATTTCCAATAATTACTGCCTTTGTTATGGTCCTTGATCACTTTGGAAACTCTTGTGGACGCTCTAGAGGCTAAGGTTATTACCAATAGTATTCATGGTCATGAGACGAAGAAACATATTAATTTTCAACAATTTCCGATAATTACTGTCAAGAGTTATGGCCCTTGATCAATTTGATAAATCTTGATACTATCAAGTTCATAGTGTTCTAGGTAAATGAAATGAAATGAAATGGGGTTTAACGTCATACTGTTTTACTCCTACTGGGTTAATAAAGACGGGCATACGCCATGCGGTGTGCTATGAAGAAAATTTTGCCTGGGAACCACAGCCTACTCTCATTTCGAATTCCAAGTGTCAAGGGTACTTTACATGCACGCCAATGTGTACATAGGACCTCAGTTTTTCATCCCATCTGAATGACTATACGTTGTCCGTTGCCAGGCCCTCCGTCCTACATCACTGACAAGGGGTAACCATGCCGGAAACTCCAGATAAACTTTCTCGGCAGTCTCGGACCCAGAGATAAGTTTACTCTTCGTTTAACTCTGGGAAAACTCGCCGGCCATTAATCAGTTTTAAATTGGTTCCTGAGCTCCGCCACCAGTGGCTCCTGATAGGCTGGATTTGTTTGAATGAAGTGCTGCTGACAATTAGGCATCGGTTTGTTGCATGGGTTACATATTAATGATCCTTGGAACCTTTTTGCACATCTTGACATCAAAAGTTCATTCGAAAACAGTCGACTTGATGATTTATTAGGAACTATTTTTAGCACGCAATGTGAGTGATTTGGCTAAATAGGCAGAATTTCTAAAGAAACTCGAGTTTGAGTCGCCATCTTGGATCTTTGTGACTGACGGAAGGTTACATCATGTGACATTCAAAATGGCTGGCGAGTTTTCCCAGAGATAAACAAAGGGTAACCTTATCTCTGGGAGCCGAGATCACTTTCTTAGCCAAAAGGGGACCTCCAGGATATCGAAACAACGTCGTACTCACTAAGCCATTGTGGCTGGGGTGGGTGGTTGGGGTGGGTGGTGAATGTTTTCTTGAGGTGACGTTATATTTTCAGTAGGTCTACTTTGATCAGCCAAAATAGGTGTGTTTGGTTTGTTTTTATTAATTTTTTATGAATTATTGTTCAGATAGTTTTAGTTAGTGGGATATTGCATTCTTCATTGTCTTCTATTAGTGTTTAATGTCCACTTCCACCGAAGGGGATATCACAGACAAGTTGTCTTATTTTATTATGCTTAGCGCACGCACAGGGGTCTTTTCAGTGGGAGGAAACCAGAGTACCCGGAGTAAACCCACAAGGTTGAGAAGGCACCCTTATCTCCAAGCCATATACGCTCACATCAGGGATCGAAACCACAAACACAAGCCAGAAGTGACCGGCCAGCTAGAGGTATTGCAGAGAGCCAGGTGATGTTATCTTTCTGCTGTTGCTAAAAGAGTTAATTGTCTGAAAGAACTACATTGATAATTTAAGCATGAATACAAATTGAGACAAATTAGCACAAACCTTGACAGCTTTCAATTCATCTTGTTTTACCATTATTTAAAGGCTCAATACCACTCTTGTTGTAACTGAATAATATGTCCCAATCTTTATTCTGGTCAACAAATTGTACTATTTTACAATATTCCAATTAATTGATGATACAAATTTCATCTTAACACACCTAATTTAAAAAATTGGAAAAATTCAACTAAATGATTTGAAAAGCCTGACGTAAAGCTTTTCAAATTTGACTTGCATTTAAAAATATTTTTGAACCCTCTCGACAAGTAAAATAGGATTTAATGGATAAATGGACACTAATACATCTAGTACTTAGAATAAGGTTATTTTTTATTTTCTGGAGCTGTAAAGCCAGCAAGAGTGTTATTGTCCCTTTAAGTTTTGTATTTTAAATCAAAAATAACCAACATCCTATGGTGTACAGTTGACTAGGCATATGACATATGTAGGCAAGCAGATGTCATTTTAATTTTTTCTATTCGGGGGGATAACTATTTGGTTTCAGTTTAGTCTTGATTATTTCACTAATAATGTAGTTAACATATTTATTTCATAGTATGTTCTTAAAATGATTAATTTTCATTTAGTACTTATGAAATCAGCTCTGGCACACAAGGGCCAAAAGGTTCCAAGATTTTGTCATGAAGTTTTAGCCTACCAGTATTTGATAATTAAACTGCACTTGAAATATTAAAGAAATTAATTTTCTGAAATGTGGTTGTTTGGTTTTCATTGGACAAATGTCTTTACTCCATGGGATATAGAGGGGCAATTAAAGTACAAATAAATTAACATGATTAAGGACAGAAACACATCAAGAATTTTAGACTTAATTGCTAGGATGCTGCAAGATTATGCTGCTTTAATGACTGTACGACTGCTCTTATTGACATGTAGATGTATTTGTTTCTTCAACACGTTTCAAATTATTGTTTCGTGTGAATCAGTGTTTTTTGGCAAAGTGTATACATTCTGTGTAGTTCATTTTAAAGCTAAAATAACACTCATTTTATGTTGGGAAACATGGCATGATTACCCAATACCGATAACTAAATCAATTAAAAACATTCTTCATGTTTTTATCTTGGTAATTAATGTCTTATAAAGTTAAAACGTCTAGATTTTAACAAATAGTTGCATACTGTATAATTTCTTTATTAACAAGATTTGTTATAATGAAATTAACTTAAAGGCTTCAGTCATCATGCACTTCATGTCCTTGGTGTAAACAATTAATCATTTTTGACTTCTTCTCCTAAACTGCTTGACAGTCTCACATTGATTATTTAATATCTTCACCAAAATTACTTGATTAATTCCAACGAATTTGGTAGTTATTTTGATTGGGTGATGATTGTCCAGATTTATTTAAATAAGGAGAACCTTCAAGGGAAAACTCTAGATGTTTTTGATATCTTTTCCTATCCCACTTAATTAAATTACAACCCAAATAGTTAAATATGTTGCCTGGATAATGCTTATTCAAACTTGTTCAAACAAAGTTGCCTCACTCATAGGTGTGGGACAGTGCATCTTGATTGGTCAAATTTAGGCATCTTATTTTTCGTCCACAATTGCTTGATTTAAATATTTTTAACCCTTTTCCTATAATTACTCAATAAATTACAACTAAAACTGATAGCTATGTTTCTCAGTTGATGCTAATTCAGATTTTTTCAAACCTTGTTACTTGACCCGATAGGAACTGGCCCAAGCCACCATCATTGGTCAAATGTATGTGTCTTCAACTTATAAACTTCTTGACAGATTTTAACCAACTTTGGTAGGTATGTTGATTGGATGGGTTTGTCTGGATTTGTTAAAATAAAGTTACTTAGCCTCAAAGGGAGGAGTCTCGTTATGGGGTAGATTTAGACTCTGTTGACTTATTTTCATAAAACTCATGTTTTCAGAATTTCAGTTATATTTAGAACCTTGTCAAAATTGTGCTTATTAGATTAGTTCAAATAAATTGTTTTTGTCTATGGGAACATGACAGGGGCATCTAGAGGGAGCACACTGCTTTCTATGGTGTTATTGAAAATTGTCTCCTTAATTTAATCAAACAAATATGGTCTTATGTTGAAAGCATGTATTTTCTCACCAAGCTAATTTTTTTCGATGCACATTTACTCTGTAACAGTGTGCAATGTGTGCAAATTTGAATTAGAAATACCTGCTTTGTGAAAAAGAAAATGCAAAGTGTACTGATTATTCAATTGACAAAAAAAAATGCTTAAAGATGCCTTCCCCCGTTGGATTCAAATCCCTCTCAAAACCTTTTAATTTCAAGAAAATTATCCCATGCTTTGAGAATCGATTGTAGAATGACCAAAAAAATGCTAAAAAAAATAGTCAAACTTTGAATTTGTATTACTTGCCTTGTGAAGGTCTTGGGCTACAGAAAAGTGAGGAATTTAAAGCCAGAATTGACTGTTTTCTGACTGAGAAAAAAACCTGAACTTTGGCATTCATTGAATTGTCTTTATGTTATTTACAGTATGCCAGAAGATGATGATGAGAATAAAACAAGTAATGGTCGTGTTGAAAATGTAAATCATATGAGAAAAGAATGGACACCGGTACCTGTTAATTCACATCTCCTTCGTCAAAATCGAAATAATCCCCTGTCCTCGATGTCTGAATCATCATTATCACAACCAGAAATGAAGAGAAGAAGGTATGTTACTTGTTTCCTTGGAAAAATGAACAAATGACTGAATCCAATTACACCCTACCCCCAACAATTACATATGCAATCATTGTTTATGTATCAAAGTGTCACAAGATAATTTTGGTGTCAGTAATTTATGGTTTCATTTCATGTTTGTTTTTTTTTTACGTGTGTGGCAAATATTTTTTGAACATGTTATTTCTTTATTTTGTTTTACCCACTATTCAAATGTTACTGTAATATTTCTTTGTAGAACCCTATCTCTTATTATGAGTGAAATGGTACAGACAGAGAGAGACTATGTCCAATCATTAGAATACGTAATTGACAACTATATTCCTGAACTACAAAGAGAGGATGTTCCACAAGCCTTGAGAGGAAAAAGAAATGTTATTTTTGGAAACATTGAAAAAATATATGATTTCCATTGTCAGTATTTTCTACATGAAGTGGAATCGTGTGAATTTACACCATATCAAATAGGCCAATACATACTATCACATGTAAGTATATATACTATTCAGTGATCTGAAGTTTATTTCCATATGTGATTCTTCCAAGTCTACTGAGAAACCTGCACTATTGTCTTAATTAATTGTAGTTGGTTGGTTAGAAATTAGACCGGCCAGTAGAATCTCCGAGAAGCTTAGTCTTTCTTCAGAACCATAAAATTCTTAAATATGAACAGTTATAAAAAGTTGAATTTAATTGTTTTTGTGGGTTTTTTTTCAGGAAAATGCTTTTTATTTATATGCCCTTTACAACAAAAATAAACCTAAATCTGATTTGTTAATGGCAGAATTTGGTAAAACATTCTTTATGGTAAGTTAAAATCCGTTTTTTTTTTTCTTCATGTAAAATCATAAAAATTACTTCAATACCAATTGTATTGTTATAATTCACTGTGTTTATTACAATTTTGAATGATGTTATATTAGATCCATGCCAAAAAGAATGAATTAATATAACTATAAAATTTCTTTTTTAGGACAAACAGTTACAGTTAAATGACAAAATGAATCTGGCTTCGTATTTATTAAAACCTGTTCAGAGAATGGGAAAGTATGCATTACTTTTGAAACAGATTATCAGAGAATGTTCAGAAACCGAACCAGAATACCAGGAATTAAAGGTAAACAGATATCAAGTAGTTTATCTTTACTACTTGGCATGGTGACTTCTGTTTTCACATTTGAAATTCCTCATAAATCTGTAATAAAAATTCAGTTTTTGTTTACTTTGAACGATGAAATTATTGCAATAATTTCTACAACTGTAGACTACTGATTAAAATTTTTTGCTTTCATTCGAACTCTTCCTCTTGCCGCCCCACCCTGCCCCATATTTTAAAGATATTTTCTTTTTACTTTTTAGGCAGCTGAGGAAATGGTGAAGTTCCAGTTAAGACATGGAAATGACTTATTAGCTATGGATGCCTTAAAGGATAGTGATGTATGTCTAACGATATTTCGATTTTTTTTTTTATGTGGCATTAGACAAATATTTATACTTAACTTCTTTTGTTTATAGTTATAACATCCATTTCTTGGTGGTTTTTTTTAAACCATTGTAAACAAGTGAATGAAAAATATTTCCTTGTCTTTTAATATCTGGAATTTTTTTTTCGCAGGTAAACTTACAAGAACAGGGTCGACTTTTACGCCAAGATGAATTCCTAGTATGGCAGGGACGAAAAAAATCAATACGACGAGTCTTCTTATTTGAAGATCTCATTCTTTTCAGTAAAACCAAAAGAGGTCGTCAGGGTCATCATGATATGTATCTGTATAAAAATAGTTTTAAGGTAGGATTTAAGTTTCAAAAATTTCAGCCGAATCCATTCAGTCCCACATCAATTTTTTTAGTTTCAAAAATAGTTTCAAAATATGATATTTCTGTGCATGCGCACTCGACAGATTTGAGACCAGATTTGGAATCGGTGTATAGGTTTACATTTAACTACCTAATTTCAACTTGATACTTCAAGTAATTTGGAAATTATTGATATTTTTTTTTATTTTTCTGGGTGCACCGGTTTAGAAACACTCCATCTCGAAAAAATGTCTACAAAATCTTTAATAGTCAGGATTTTTGGAAAATATTTTGTATCGGGAGTTTTCATAAGGCAACACTTCAATAAAAAAAATTATGAGCGAAAGCGATAACGATGGGTTCCCCCGTTGGTTGAATTGATGTTGAATGACCCTTGTTTCAATATTCATATTTATAACTGTTTCCTGTAAATTTTGTCGGCGCTTTGAGCAAACAGTATTGCTTCGAGTCTAGCGCTTTATAAGAACCCTTATTATTAAGATTTAAAAATAATGTAAGACCTAAAAATATCTGTACACCTAGTTTGCACTAGAAAAACAGAAACAGATTTACTATTGCAGACCTGCCCTTTCCATCACCTGCAATGGTGTGGTAAAGGTGGTAGGTAAAACAAGAGAAAGGGTTATAAAGAAGTTTATATGTTCCACAAATACCACATGATACAGTTTTTATATTATATCAAAGAATGTAATAAAATGCGTAAATGTGTAATAGGATGCTAGTTAATCTATACCATAAAACCATGTACCATAACCATTAAACAACACTTATGCTGGCATTACACATAACTATAAACACAAAACATATTTTATGCTTGGCCCTGAAATTCCATAGTTGCCATTATTCAGGTGTTTATAACCAATTGTTCTATTGGCTTTTCATCTTACAATTTTACATGACATATATAATCATATTTCAGACCGGTAAAAAGTATTGTCACACTTCACATTCAAAGTCACCTTAACTGTTAAATGAAATATAAAATAATAATCATAGCCATTTGTGGAAAAGAGCCGATGTGTGACCTTATCTGATAATCTGTAACATGTGGAAAAAATGCATGCATGTAATTTAGTTTTATCCCAGCTACACCTACGAATAACTAACCAGGACACAGAATCACATATCACCTGATAAACAACCTTTTCAGAAATAGACCGCCTTCAGAACTGAAGGATTCCAACAAGTTATCCTTTCAACTATACCAGAAATATTTAAAACTAAACCCATATAAAAAACTAAAACATTTCAACCACTAAAATAAAACTCTATAATCCGGACAATACAATTCCAGACCCATACAATAGAAAATCCACCACCCACAACATTTAAACTAATTTATATTAGCTCAAAACCTAAAATATAAACTAATTGTCTGTGATATCACCTCGGTGGAAGCGGACGTTAAAGAAAGCTATTTCACACAATATAAACTCACTAATTAAAAACTTCAAATAATAAAGACACTGACCAGGTTATTCATTACCAACATCAATTGACAGAGTCCCAAAATATAACCCTGTTACATTTACTTTAAACAGAAAATGCTTTAACAAGTGAATGAAAAATTGTATAATTATGTATAAAAGGGGCAAGTTGGATTTTACAAACACAAATTGTCCACATTAAATAAATTTAATTATTACAAAATGTTAACTATGTTGAATATCTGCATGTTCTATAGTCAAACATTGTATAGTACCTGATTATACTAACATGCTCACTAACTCGTCAACTTACAATTAGAGTGTTGTTTCATTTTTAGTAGCACATGCATTAATATTCCAAATGTTTTTATCAGTCATAAAAAGTTCATGGAGAAAGGTGATGCTAAACAGAACTATCTGTACAAACTTCTGTTAGAGTTTTAATAAATTATTCAGTCAATGAGTGTGATCATAGATTGGTTGTTTTGTTTTTTTTTGTAGTCAACAGATTTGGGTTTAACAGAGAATTATGATGAAAGCGGGTTTAAGTTTGAGATTTGGTTTAGAAAGAGAAATAGTGGTGATAAATATATTTTACAAGCTCAAAATACAGAAGTTAAAAGAGCTTGGGTAAATGAAATATCTAAATTACTGTGGAAACAAGCAATGAGGAACAGAGGTATGTTTTAAAATATCAGAATAATGATAATATTACATCATTTGCACAACAAATATTTTAATGTATCCTTTGTAACTAAACCTTGACAACCATCCAATGTTTGTCACTTTTAACTTCAAAATAGTGATATGAAGTTCTGAAACTATTAATATGTTTTTGTGTTGGCTATACTAGTAATTGTCTTGTCCTGAGCTGATTTTAGCTGCCAATCTGGCATGAGAGACGGTGAACTCCTTAAAAAACATTTAGAAGTTGAGGTATGACATTTATAATAACACAACTGCATGATAAAGATACATAGAAGGGTACTGAAATGTTGCATATAATATAAACCAAAATCCATAAAGTTGTGTTGTTATGAAAATGTTTTTTTATTTCAGAAGTGAGATTATCAGAAATGGCCACCATGGGTATGGGAAATAAACCCTGTTTAGATCTGAAACAAAGTGCTGATAATATACAAGATAGATATATAAATGTTGGGTTAGGATTGCGGGGTTGTAAGTATAAATTAGATCTTTAATTTATCATAGAATGATTTTACTCTCACTCTTTGAATATACAATATACATATATTGACTGTTCCTTATATTTACTGAATGTACTGATTCACCTCTTCTACAAGCATGTAGCACTTTGTAGTGAATGAAGCGTTAAAATTTACTATATCCATATTCAGAATTTCCAAACATACCACTAAATCTTCAAAAAGGCTTAACACTGACAAAACCCATGGGTAACACACCAAGTATTCTGCAGAAATTGATATTCCTCTATATAACACACAGCTAAGATTTATTCTTTCTTTTCATTTGTAATATTTTTATATTTTTTGACATGAAAAAAAAAAGGTATAATCAGATGCATTAATTTGAAAAAAAGGCCTACTCAAAATATAAAAGAAAATATTTAAATGACATGCATGGTTATTAAAATAAAACATAAGATGTCCTTGACTTGCATTACTCAATAGCAAGCCACAGCAAACTAGGTAGTTATTTTTGAAATTTTTAAAAACACCAATGATCAAAATGGGATTATTAAAGCTCCTAAACCGCAAATCCGGGAGTTATTGTAGTATAGAAAAGAAATCGTAAGGTTCTTTGATGTCTGAGACAAAATGTGAGTTTTCAAACACCGATAATTGGTGGCATGTGCAATGCGATTATTAACCATTGAAACCTTTTCACGTAAAAGACATACACCATTAATCTGTTAAACCATTAATTTGTTTATTGTTAAGAAATTAATTATACTATAACAACAGTAATTAAAGATGTCAGAATAAATAGTCATTGATTGAGGCCTCTGAAATCGATTGCACTTATCCTGGCTGAAAATGTCAACAGACTTTTGTTCAAAAAGGATATTTCTTAACATGCACCTTCGAATTTGAATTTATGTCTACATAAGTGATATTTTATGAATTTCAAAGACTATATTTAGGCATATCTCATAATTTTAATAAACAAATGAGTTGTATTGATATCAGTCAGTTAGCGACATACCATATGTAGGCATATTTTTCTTCTTTTGCTTTGAAAGTGGAAGAAAAAGTTCCAAATTTGTATTCCCCTAAATCATTATGACTGCCCAGTGCAATCAAGTGTGTGTTATATATGTGCAAAAACTAAATGACTCTTGAAGTACTTTGAAATAATGACAATATCAACAGACTCTGAACATGTTTTGTTTTTTGTAGCTCGATGTCGAAACTCCATTGCCGTCTCGTCATTTGATCATTTAAGAAATGGAAACAAACGACCCCATTCCATCATTTCGGTCAGTAGTAATTCTTCATCTAACTCAAGTCACTCAAGTTTTGGTTTGTTTGGTTCCCTTAATCTGGCTTTTGATCCTTTAGACACCTTACGACATCAGCACCGAACCTCAACTCTTCTATCCAATGGTATGCATGGGTATATTATTCTTTATTTTCAGCTGTTTTTTAATAATGTTTTTTTTTTTTTTACTCCAATATTTATTTTGATTACTTGGTTTTAACTGAGTTTTATTTATTTTGGTCATCTCTATCTTAATATTTTTATACGCCCACATTTTCGTGTGGATGAATATTGCCGTCTCCCCTGTCCATACGTCCGTTCACATTTTGTTTGTGGGCACACTACAGGTCAATTTTTATCAGATTTTAACGAAACTGTTGGTTCCTGTTGAAATTGGCATGTATCAGTCCCTAACTTCATAGATTATGACCCCTCTAGAGGTCACAATTTTTATCCGATTTTGATGAAACTTGAAATGTATGTTTATATAACCCAACGATCTTGGTTCTTTTCGATATTCGCGCATATCAGATTGTTACTTCCTAATTTATGGCCCTCATGTTTTTAGCTTGTGGTCACAATTTTTATCCGATTTAAAAAACTGTTTGAATATATCACTGTTACACCCTAATGATGGTTGAGTTCGAATTTCATGAAAATCGGACCAAAACTGCCAGACAAAATAGCCGCCCCTTGTACACAAATAGTGTAAAAATATGGTATGTCAAGCTTGTGGACCCTCTAGAGGCCACATATTGATCGGAATTTGATGAAACTTTAAAATTATGTTTATATCACAAAGATCTTGGTTCCTTTCGTTAATCGCGCATATCAGATCGTAACTTCCTGGATTATGGCCCCTGATTGTTCGAAAAATCATTTTTTTAGCTGGTAGACCCGCTAGAAGTCACAATTTATATTCAATTTTAAATATATCACAGTTACACCATATTGATGGTTGAATATGAATTTCGTAAAAATCGGATCGAAACAGCCCAACAAAATGGCGCTCCTTGTGCGTAAATAGTGTAAAAGTATGTAATACCAAGGTTTTGGACCCTCTAGAGGTCTCAAATTTTAAGGGAATTTGATGAAACTTAAAATATGTTTATAGCTTGTTCTCTATCCATCTCTTGCAAAATGTGGCCGCATCATGCCTGGCAACCACTGGTTTTCATTATTATTCAATTTTGAATCCTATCTATTCCAAATATTCTATAATTTATCAGTCTTATTTCAGAAAAAAAATTTAAACTTGAATTCGGGGATTTTATTTTTTTTACATTGTTTTTTTTTTTTTTTTAAAGTTTACAATGAATAGTTTAGCATAGTCTTGTCTAATTTGTATAATATCTGACATTTTTAATATTTAATGGTTTGAACCCTTCCAGTGCCATGTATTATTTGTTGAATGTAGAGAGTATGTGTCTCTTCTTGTTTTGTGGCAGTCCATTGTTGCTTGCTTTTATATGTTTATTTCAGAATTTCATGGGAGGAGAAAAGTTTTAGGTTTTGGTTTGGTTATGGGGGGTTTTAGGTGTTTTTTTTTTTATCATAACAAAAATTAGGGGTAGGCAAATTCAGTCCAGTCTAATGGTTGCTTTATGGTGGGGGGATAAAAATAAAATGTTTGAATTTTTAGTCATAACAAAATTTAGGTGTAGATGTATTCAGTTCTGTCCAGTAGTTGCTTTTTTGTGTGGGAGAAAACCTATCTTAATTTTTAGTCATCAAGTTTAATTTCACTCTGGTAGATGCTCTTTTGTTTTAGGAAAAACATGTTTTTAGTAATCAAATTTAGTAGCAATATGTTAGTAGAAGTATTAGAAATGTTAATGTAGTATAATGGAGAGGAACATATTCTTATTATCAAGTGAAGAACACTGCTTAATTTTAACCCAGTCAGTAGATTTTATTCTTTAACACCAAATAATGGTCTATTTTCCTCTTATAGTTAATACCAGGTAAACATTATAGGACTATATATTATACTGTCTGATACACTCCCTCCTTTTGAGAAAATTTCTTTTACCATTCTTGATTGAATGTACTAGAAATGAAAATCAAGGGATAAGATAAGTGTTGTCATTCACTTGATAATATAAATATGGGAGTAAGACATATATAAAAACAACTGTATTCAACCGAATAAGCAGACCAACTCTTTGATATGTAATGAGCACACGCTTAAAATAATATTCACAATTTGACAGAATTACAAAGACAGATAAAAATTTGCTCTCTTTGACTATAAATGGCTGATGTCTTTTGCAAGAAGAAATCTAGGCACACTGTGACACCAATTGCATTCAAATTTACTGATATCTTTTGCGAGCAAAAAGTTAATAAGACTGTGACATCACTTGTATTCAAATATTGACTTTTCACTGACAATCATTCGGTCGAATATGGTAAGTGGCACTAAATGTTACCTACTTAATTATATCTTACACACCAACAAAAAATGTGCCTGCTTAAAATAAAGTGAGTTATGTTTGTGCTGCTTATTTTGTTTGTCTATTTTTCTATTGTGATAACATAATAACTTGATAACCTCAATTTCATACAGAAAGTGGAGTTGGAACCGACATGTCCAGTGGATGCGCCGAGCCGAGCGGGGACCTCGACAAAAGTAACCGATGTGTGATACCAAATGACCAGCCCGTGACCTCATCAGCCCGTTCCTACATAAACTACATGAAATCTAAAGTTCTCAAAAAATCTCGAGAACCTGTGGTCACAGATGTAAGTTTATCAGCCATTTTACTGCGCATATGCCTTCATTTAACTGTTTCTTTCCTTATCACTAATCATGTAAACCTTTTATTTTCAGATTTTTTCTGATTATCTGTGTTCTGCCCTTTTTAATTAAAATTACCTAAATTCTGCAAAATACAAAATTCTCATTATATAATGATGGCACAAAATTGGATTTTTTATAATAAAGGGAGTCTCCGGTTATTGTAAATATGATTAAAACTGAAATGCAGTTCTTTTCCTGGTGACAGTGGTGATAATCCCTCTCTAAGTAAAAGGAATCGAGTACCAATTTGTAGAATTTTTGTATATTTACTGTATTCCACTTACTTTCATTTTTCTATTAATTTTTAATTTTCCTTACAGTTTCAGTTCATTTTCATTTTTTATTAAAGTTTTAAAAAAACCCAAGCATTTGTGATATGCGTTAACTAGAAAACTTTGGGAAATGTGGGAATTAGGGCACTAAATGGTGAGGTGAGGTTTGGAAGCAGGTTATGGTAGGGTTAGGTTTGGAAGTGGAGATAGGTAGTCTTAAGGTTTTTGGTATGGTTTTAGTCGGCTTGAAATGTTGCACCTAAGGGAGGGAAACAAAAGAAAGAAAATTTGAAGAGTAGGACAGCAGTAAGTGGTGGAAATGAAGAACAAATAACAGTGGATGTCTTCTATATAAATACGAAATGTTCACCTCAAAGCCATTGTGCATTACCCTGCTTTCACAGGTTTCACAAGCCCACTTTGTTTACAACTTTGTCACAGATATTGCACAACTAACATAGTGTTTAATCAACATGTAGTCATACCTCTGCTGAGACGTCTAGTCGGCCATTTTGATTTAAATCAACTAAAAGAGAGAAATAGATGTTGTTAGCTTTTGATATTGTTTAGTAGCTGTCATTATAGTTGAGCATGTTTTATTTTTTCAGGTGTAGAGATCTTCTCAAGGATGCCAGGCTTCTTTAAACTAATTGGGCCATTGCATGTATATTGTCATCAGTTGCATTTATTTATCTTTTCACCAATGTATGCGCGACACTGCAGTTCGTTTTTACCATTTTCCAACAGGTTGCATATGGGGCAAGTCCTTATAAAGTAATGGTTGCTCAAGCTAACTGTTCCTTGAACTAAGTACGATTAAGTACCACACGAACTGGATCGTATTCAAGTCTCTCTTTTCATTTAAAGAGGTACTGTTATGTTCAAGGAGAAATCTAACAGCACCATCTAACTGGTCCATTCCCTTTCTAGATCGCATAAATGTTTGCTGCACATTTTTTTTCGAAGCTTTTGCCATTGTCAAACATTTGATGGAAATAGTCAGTTAGTATGAAGATTAATTTGGTAATGGGGTGAATTTGGACGCTTGGAATATGGTGATGCAACCGCATGCACAAATTAATGACACGTCATTTGAAACATTTCAGGATGATATAGAAACAGAATAATTTGTTGAATCTTGAAAATAATTTATTTTTCTCAGGAATGTATAATTTTGTCTTATAATAAATGTGTAAAGGTGTTTATGTCTGTACTATATTGTATTTGTAGAAATAGATTTTTATACTGTTTAAATATGCGCTATAATTGTACATTTATTAGGTCTATTTTCATTCAATTAAATTCTTCTGTAATTATAAAATAGAATTTTAACTGTTAATGTCTTTAAACCAAGAGATTATAATTTATTTATATGTAAATGGATAAATTTTATGTACATCGTTAAATAACTTCAACACACTACCTGTAGTAAGGTTCATGCTGTCCAATTGCAGGTCTATATATTGTTCATTTCTATATTGTACATTGAAATTCATTTATTATTATATAAGTTTCTTTATATCTATCAGCAAATTCTCACAGACCTTTAAATTTTATTGACATTTTGATGTACATAACACATGCATATTCAGTAAATCATTAAAATAGTACACATTTTTTTATACAAAGTTTCCATAGACTCTGACCATTAATGTTATAAATTTTTACTCCAAAAGAAAATGGGTACACAATATTTTGCAACTTATTTTTGTACATTCGAAATCCTAAGAAATGATCTGTTAGTTTTATAATGTCTTCCATTTTACAGTGTGCCTTACTTTTGGTATGTTATGTATTTACGGTCCTTGTGGTAAAATCATGTATTATTTATTGACTTAACTAATGTCTTTGTTGTCACAGACAAATATTGTAAATATATGAACTATAAATAGACACATTATGCTGTTCGTACTTGTATGATAGCAATAAAGAATATGAAAGAAGTCTGTGTGATATTTTATCAATATGTGGAATGCAAGAATTTATTGTCTTAGATTTTTCAACAAAAAAAACTGGAACAAGAATTGAAAGCAAGTTTATTTGGAATAGAAAAATGTGACAAAAAGCTTAATGTAAATATAGATACCACTAACTAAAATATTTAGTATTGTAAACTATATCCGATCAATAATTTTTTGCTTCACAGTGTTTTGTAATTTATTTGAATGGTGGATGAGAGTTGTAACATGTACAGTTTCCATAGATTTCAGAACTGAGCTGTTCAACCCAGTTAACAAGACAAGATCACATCAAGATATTTCATTATTTTGAAACTGCTCACAATATATTGCTATGGGTTACTATTTTGAATCAATTAATCATGTTGAAAAATATGAGTTTGTCTACAGAAAATATTATAGAGCTGGTATGATATTGTTATAAGTGTAACTGACTGTATAAATGACAAGTACAATATTAGCTAAGCCTAATAATATGGGTTGGAATTAATAGATCTAGTATCCAAAAATGTGTTTCGGTAAGACACTTGAATAAAGATTATAATACAAGATCTTCATTTAATAACTGATAATTTCAAAATAATCTTAATGAAAATTTTGACATCATTTATCTGAATCCAGTTCTTCCTATGTAAGTAATCAAAACAGATCATGTTCGTAGGTTGGATTAAAAAAAAACAAGGGTTCACCTTTGTCCATGTAAAAGGACCCTTCCACTCCCCTATATGGTTGGAATTTGAAGAAAAATGGGCAGAAAAGCACAAATCAACCTCCTATTGGTTATGATAGTAAATAATGAGTATTGATGCCAATAAACATATGACAGAAGATTATCAACAAACCATCAAATAATCACTTAACCAAATAATTATTATTGATCAAATGAACAAACACAATGTACCGGTACCTGTTTGTTGTTATGAAATGGAAGGTTAATAACTGCATATATATTTATCAGAAATCATGTTAGTTTTCCCATGGACCTTGTATTACGGTCCATGGTTTTCCATAGGATTCATAAATACAATCAAAACAAAGTTTGGAAATATTGATATTTTTATTCGTCCACATGTCGCCCCTGTCTGTGGGTGTGTGCCTGCGTGTAGCCTACAGGCCACAATTCTTAAGTGATCATCTTGAAACTTATTTACTTATTCCTTATACCCTAAGGATGATCCCTATTGTTTTTGGTGCATGCCCAACCCCCAGGGACAGAGCCATGCCCATTTCTTCTATTTGTTTGTTTGTCGTCTACAGGCCGCATTTCTTTACGTTTTGGGTGCAGGCCCAACCCTCAGGGACAGAGCCACACCCATTTTCTTTTTGTATGTCTGTGTGTCGCCTACAGGCCACAAATTCTTAATCGTCTTGAAAAATTTTCGTATGAATTCCTTATACCCTAAGGATGATCCAGGCTATTGTTTTTATACGCCCACATTGAAATGTGGTCGTATATTGTCGTCGCCCCCGTCCGTCCGTCCGGCGTCCACAATTGCTTGTGGACGCTCTAGAGGCCAAAATTAATATCCGATTGACTTTAAATTTATATACAGTGTTTAAGGTCATGAGACGAAGACGCCTATTGATTTTCAGTGATTTCCGATAATTACTGCCAGAGTTATGGCCCTTGATCACTTCAAAAAATCTTGTGGACGCTCTAGAGGCCAAAGATAATATCCGATTGACTTTAAATTTATACACAGTGTTTAAGGTCATGAGACGAAGAAGTCTATTCATTTTCAGTGATTTTCGATAATTACTGCCAGAGTTATGGCCCTTGATCACTTTGAAAAATCTTGTGCACACTCTAGAGGCCAAAGTTAATATCTGATTGACTTCAGATTGATACACAGAGTTTAAGATCTTGAGACGAACAAGTATATTGATTTTCAATGAATTTTTATGACTTGGAACAGCTAAATCCATGATACAGTATTAAAAGTTTTGTTTACAAAACGTTAGCATGGGGCAGAACTTTATAAAAACCAAACAAATTCTAATGGTTTTCTGAGTTGTTGCTCTTAATCAGATTTTAGTGTATTATAAATGTTTCATTACCGAAAAAAGTAAAAATATGCGACAACTCTTGTTGACTGCCCGGACGATTTAGCTGCTGTGGGCGTATGTTTCGTTGCCTGGCAACCTATCTTTATCGATACTCTACAGGTTGCAATAATTAACAGATTTTGTTCAAATTCAGCATATCAATCATTTAAATAACCGGATGGTACCAATTTATATTGTTCCATATCCTCCCCCGAGGGGCAGAGCCACGCCCAATTTTTGTATTTATCGTCTACAGGCTGCAATTACTTATTTATTTATTTTGGTGCATGCCCCGACCCCCTAGGTCAGTGTCACACCCAATGTTTTGTTAATATTTTCTGTAAATTTGGCAAAACAAACGCCTAGCCTTCTTTGCCTCTTGTCATATTACAGCCATTTCATATTTCATTCTCTTCATTTTAAAAAGTACCATATCAATCAAAGCAGGAATGTGGATGTATATTGCAGCATTAGCGATGCTCTTGTTATCTCTTACCTGTTCACTAAGTTTTAAGGCAAGGGTAATAATTTTAATATATTCAAGGTAATTCATTGATCTGTATTCTCTTTATTAAAGATGATTTATTTATGATTTATATACAAAGCTGATCGTTCATTCTATAATTGTTTAAAATAGATAATGAAAAATGAATATTTTGAAAATTTCATTCAAATTACTTTATTTTAAGCGAAATTTAAAGTTTTGATACAATATACATTTATTATCAAAACCCCATTTCCCTAGCAATTACATGTTCAATATGGTGCCCAAAATAGAATCTTAACTCATTATTCTGACCAAATGATTTTATTTCAGACCATATTTCAATACCATCAGTCAGAAGTTTCTGTTAAAAATAAAAGAATCAGCCATGGATATTAGATAATGCTATTTGATAATAAAATTTCAATTCCTGTATTGCCTTCAGTGTTCAATTTTCTGTCGGTCATTAAAAAGATAGGTTGCCAGGAAATGAAACATACGCCCACAGCAGCTAAATCGTCCGGCAGTCAACAAGTGTTGTCGCATATTTTTACATTTTTCGGTAATGAAACATTTATAATACACTAAAATCTGATTAAGAGCAACAACTCATGAAGTAATTATCAGAAAACCATTAGAATTTGTTTGGTTTTTATAAAGTGCTGCCCCATGCTAACGTTTAGTATACAAACTTTTAATATCATGGATTTAGCTGTTCAAGTCTTTTATAAAAATTCAATACGATTCTTGGTCTCATGAACTCAAACACTGTGTATAAATTTAAAATCAATCGGATATTAACTTTAGCCTTTAGAGCATCCTAGAGATTTTTTGAAGTGATCAAGGGCCATAACTCTGGCAGTAATTATCGAAAATCGCTGAAAATCAATAGGCTTCTTCGTCTCATGACCTTAAACACTGTGTAAAATTTAAAGTCAATCAGATATTAACTTTGGCCTCTAGAGCGTCCACAAGAATTTTTGAAGTGATCAAGGGCCATAACTCTGGCGGTAATTATCAGAAATCGCTGAAAATGAATAGGCTTATTCGTCTCATGACATTAAACAAAGTGTATAAATTTAAAGTCAATCAGATATTAACTTTAGCCTCTAGTGCGTCCACAACATTTGTTGAAGTTATCAGTGTCTGTTCCTAATAATACCTGAGCATTTCACATTCACTATACTTGTTAAAAACAAAACTATTGTCTAAATTTTGTTTACTAAAACAGAAAAAAGAATAAATATTTGAAAGTTGCTTGATAATAATGGTGATGTTTAGATATTCCTGTATAAATGACACCAGGAATACTCATTTAGCATAGCAATACCCTTCTTGAGTAGGCTAAACGATTTACTATAGCCCTCTTCAATAAGTCATTCACTCAAACTTTTATATTAAAGGTGTGCATATCTCCCCCTCAAAACAACATTACATCATTATTTTAGTCAGTTGTAGGGCCCTCCTCTAAATACTTATTGTCCCCACATTATTTTCGAAGAGCAATGATAGTGGTTATAGTTATAGAGTTTTTTTTGTCATACTCAGATATTCCCCACAACCAGACCCAGTTTTCAAGAATTATAAAGCTACCCCCCCCCCCCCACACACACACACACACACACACCTACACACACACACCAAAAAAACAACATGATTGTTGATTTAAAAAATGGTATTTGATGACAATCCACAGAGTATTCCTCCCCAATAATAATACATACATACTTTTTCCAATTTATTGTATTTTATATATGGAATAATTTACATAATGTCTTTATGAATATATTACAATATGTTATACAACTATTTACATTATACAGCTAAATGTGTCTCTGGCTAGTATCTCAACTCTTAGAGCTAGATAACAAAGTACATTGGAAACATAAAATGTGGTGGCATTATACTTTGGTTTATCAGATTCAACAAAATGATTTGAAAGATACAATTATTCTAATGACTGTAGTCTGCAAAACCAAACTGTTCTGCTATGGGATCCTAGGGTTGCAGTTTGCAAGAGACAAATAAATTACTAGGCGTGATACAGTCATAATTCTATACAAATAACTATGTTCAATTTCTCAAGACAATAATTTCAACAATTATCAAGCTTTCTTAAAAGAGAATGGAACAATCTAAATGCAGTATATTTTATCTTCTAATTTATGTCTAGATGTATACAACAGTGCATACACATAAATAGCACATACTCTTATACTACAGAACAACATGGATATAATATGACGTTTCCATGTGTCAAAAGTTTATGGCCCTTTCAGCTGTCATGGTTGGTTGAGGTATTGTCTGGTGCAGTTGGCGCATGCGTTGTCACCTGAAATCCCCCTTTTCACTCTGTTGTCACTATTTTAGGGATTGGGGGAATTTAATTCAAGGAACGTTCAATGGAGTACACCAATGGACCCAACAAATATCTACTCACCACCACTTCCTCAACTCACACTTAATTATATGTGTACATACATTAATTAAGGTATTCATAAAACATCATTGGAGGTCAAACCTCTACAAAATTTTATTGTTGATTTTAATATTTGTAACTTTAAGGCATAAATCAACATGGTCAATAAAATGTCACATTTCTCAGCATTAAGGTACACATTGGTTAACAGTTGAAATAATATAGATATACAGCTTTTAAATGTTATTATTAACAAGATTCAGATGTGAGAAGTTTTATGTCTGAATTTAATAATCTATTTATTCTACTCGATTAGTTCATGTATTATATAATATGTTACTGGCCATTCTGATAGTATTACCTGTTATATTTCCTTCCATAAAATCTGAACACAAACCTAATTTGAGACTTAGAATCCCTACAGATACGAATACTCAACTGAACATTCTGGAACAGAATTCTGTCCGTCCCAGCAAAGGTAACAATGAAGCAGACACACGAATTTCGCTCAAAAACGTATACAATAACATCTTGATCAATCATCAGCTCATAAAGAATCATGTGGATGATTACATGCAATTTTACCAACACCTGATCTCAAATTGGGATTGGCATCATTGCGAGGTATGATATACAAATATGAGTCTGCTCTCATTTCATTCTATAAAGCAAGAAATGAAAACTTACATTTAAATCCAACACAGAATTTTTGTTTTCACACCACAGACTTGAAAAACTAACCTACATTTTAGTCCAGCAGTAATTTCATGATTATATTATATTATGTATATGTAGTGTTTTTACATGACTGTATTAACACATTGGTTCCCAACCACTTGTTGGTTGCGACTCCATTCCAGAAACCATCATCTGATCGCGACCCCTTGAAGAACAAAGTCACCTTTTACTATGAAACATTATCATTATTTACAGATCAAAATGTTGTAATTTAGAGATTGAGGAAACAAATAGTGAGCGTGAGAGAGGAAAAATGATTGGCAATGTGGAAAGAGGTGAATAGATCAGAGATTAATATGCATTTCATGAAAACATAGCAGTTTCAGAGTTGTCTGCCACGACCCCACGAAAACTACTCCGCTACCCCAGTTGGCGTCGCGACCCCAAGGTTGAGAACCTAGGTATTAACACAACTTCATAAATATTCTATAATACATCTCTAATACATCTCTACAAAAAAACTCTAATTTATATCATTCCTTAATCTGTGAATTAAAATGATATTGTTATTTACAATGGGTTGCGATCAAATACTATTTACATTATCAATTTTTTACTCATAAAACCCCCCAAAATAAACAATGAAATAACTTAAATTAGAGATGAAACATTTTGTTTCTATGATAAAAATAATTAGTGTGCTGTAACGCCAGATACCATCTTCACATATCTAGTGAATAATGAAGTTTATCTTTTCATAAATTTATAAAAAGAAATATAACAAGCTTTTCATAAATTTATAAAAAGAAATATAACAAGCTGTTGCAATCAAATGAATGAAACTTAAAGAAGTTTTCTTAGCACACAAAACTACTTTCAAGTTGTTATAGGACCTGCTGATATTCAACAAAATATTCCATACTACCGTATGATAAGATTATGGCAACCAGTACATAAAGTAACTTATGTTTTCACAACAATGATTGATAACTTCCAATGGAATCTAGTCAAACAAATATATCCACCACAATATACTATTTAGCATTATTATTCACTGACATGTTAATACTATTGAAAGGTGCTCTTCAATGAAACAAACATCTAATTAAAACATTGCATTAAATAAATTTTCAATTTATAAATTTGACAAAATAATCTATCAAACAACAGTTCCATCACATTCTTCTTGGCAATTATTTTACAAACTCTCAACCTTATTGTAATTAATGTGTACATGATGATTTGTGAAAAGTTCCATATAACAAGAAAAAAAAAATATAATTGACACCTTTATTCCATGCATTTTCACTAATATGACCTGAATAACCAGAGAAATAACACAACCTATGTATAAAGTTATTAAAGTAACCAACCACAGTTCCTAAAGAGAAGTACAATATGAAGATATTGGACAAACATCAATTTAAAATACACACATCTAAATAAAGCTGTACATCATTGCATTTTTGATTTTTTTCTTGCTATGGCATCTTCTACTGCCTTTAATTGTTTTAGAAGTTCTTCACGTCGCGAGGAATTACTCTTTTTTTGTTTAGATTGAGTGGTAGGAGCTGGTGCTGCCATCTGTGTAACAGGAGGAGTGGGTTTATTAACAGGGAGTTTAACAACAGCAGTTGGTTGAGGTTTACTCGGTTTTGTAGTTGTAGGACCAGGTTTCTCTTTAACCGGAGATTTAGCTTTCTCCGGTCGAGTTGCTGGTTGTTTAGGTACTTTATCTACTGAAAGAAACATTTTATATGCTCATATTAACAGAAAATAAAACTTATAATAATTCCAGATCACAATATTGTAAAATATAAAGTACTCCAGACTCACTCTAATTCTTATATCTGTCATTTGCTAGTCAACCACATGTTGTAATCATTGACTAATGGCCAATACACTTGCGAGGCATACTTATAGTCTATCAATTAAATTTCAATCGTCAATTTTACTTGTTAAAAATTCTGCGAAAATTTGAACAGTGTTAGTAACATACATATTTTTGGCTCCCTATCTGTCAGTTGGGTTTCCATTGTTGAATGATTAGTACATTATAACTTGTCATAATTGTGGGAGTCGAAACTATGTTATTTGAAATACAAGACTTATCTATGCGGTATGGTAAAACAAACATTCTGGTGGTCAAAAAAAATTACAGAAATTGAGAGTTGCACTTGGCAATTCACAGCAGGAAACACATTGGTGGGTCTCTACAATCATGTCTATGAATACAAATGAAATGAAATGAAATGGGGTTTAACGTCCTACTGTTCTGCTCCTAACCTGGGCTAATGAAGACAGGTATACGCCATACAGTGTGCTATGAGTGAAGTTTTGCCCGGGCAGCAGCACTATCGCCTACTCTTATATCGATTTCCAACTGCCAGGGGATCTTTTACGTGCATTCCAATATATACATGGGACCTCGGTTTTTCGTCTCATTCGAAGGACTAGACAGCTGTCCTTGTCAGGCCCTCCATTCTGCACCACTGACAAGGGGAAACCACATCTATGAATACAATCAAAAGTATTTGTATATTGTAACATACCTGTAAGTTGCTTAGTAGGTGAAATAGCTTGTTTTTTACTGGGTGGAACACCAGTACCCATTTCACCTAAACGTCTTTTAACTGGTGCTGATTGATCACTACTACTACCTTTATCACCCTATATCAAATATAATAAAAGTATTTAAGTTAATATCGCTTGTTTCCTTTTATTACATTGGCTACAATGCTATTGCAGATTTAAAGTAATTCTAAATAGTTTCTTATTAATCATCTGATCAAGATCTAACCACGACCTTATGAAACCTTGTTGAAGATAATGCTATGGACCCATCATTTTGTTTGGGCTAGACAGGTTAGAAAACAAGTTTCATAACCATGTAATTTACACCAATAGGGCTAATGAAGTCGGGTATACACCAATGCAGAATGCTACATGTATTTTTGCACAAACATGCAAATGTTCCGTTTCTTCTACGTGCACGCCAACAAGTACAGATGGACATCATTTTTTTTCATTTCATACAAATAACCAGACACTTTTCTTCCACATTGCCAAGCCTGCACATCTGACAAAAGGAAGCCAGACTCGAAAATCACAAGGACCTTTCTTCACCAATACTGGGATTGAACCCAGGACCCCCCGGTTAGTGAACCAGCACTAAAGTCACTGAGGATCCACGTTACAAGTTAGAATGAACAGACACCTGTTTTTATTTAATTTAATTCAAACTTTCAAATCTATTATTAGGGGAACTGACAATTATTTTAGCTAAATTACAGATTTATAATTAAATAATACTGTGACATAGAAACTTCTATTAGTTCAATACAACTAAATGTGAAAAACAAAAAAATGTGTTTGTTACTTACTTTACTTAATAATGTCAATTTAATGTTAGATTTTTGTCCTACAAGTTTTAAAGGATCTTTAGCTTTTACTGGTGTAACTGGACCTTGTCTATTAGGTATTTCAGGACGACCAGCCTGACGAGGTGCTTTGCCTGCAGTAGCTGACCGTGGTTCTGTGGAAGACACTGGTTTTTTCTTATTTTTTCTGGATCCTTAAAAATACAAATTATTTGTAAAACGTGTCTGGTATACTTAGATATTGACTATGTGAATAGTTGATTAAAGGTTCCGGAAATGAAATCCGAGCAATCCTAATAACATTTGAATAAAAAAAACAGTGGTTGCTAGGCAAGATATGCCCACATTTTGCAAGAGATGGATAAAGAATAAGCTAAAAAAAAAATGTGATTTTTTGTACAATCAGGGGCCATAATCCAGAAAGTTATGTGGGCTGAGATAGGCGATTATCAAAAGGGACAGAGATCTTTGGAATATAACCATATCTTTTAAGTGTCATCAAATCTGAAAAAAAAAATTTCTAGGGGTTGCACAACCTTCGTATTACATACATTTACACAACTGCGTACAAGGAGCTGCCATTTTGTCGAGCAGTTTTGCTTTGATTTTCAAGAAATTTGAACTGAACCTTCATTATGGTGTAATGGTAATACTGTATATTTAAACAGTTTTTAAAATCGGATAAAAAATGTAACCTCTAGAGGATCCACAAACATGTGGGCATATAAAAATTATCCACAAATTACACCATAATGTACTTGTTATTGGGACAGATAGAACTTTGTGTTATTAAATTCCAAATGTTCCAGCTTCTTTTTATAATTGAGCACTCCTTCCTTTTTCTGTAAAATCAAAGGGTTTAATTTTCCTGAGAATTATTATCAATGATCAAACCTGTTTTTTTCTGCGGGTTTCCTGCTTTAGATCCATGCTTAGTAGGATTATCTAAATCTCGATATAAATGCTGTGAGTCGGCACTGCCACTACTACTATTTGATGATGAACTTGTATGAGTTGAGACACTACTGGCACTATGAGAGGATGTTGAACGACTACTACCACTAGAACTATGACTACCAGTTCGTGGTCTGAAAAATAAAACAATCAACCAGAGATGATTAATTCTTACTGTCAAGAAATCACCTTTATCATTAAAAACCTATGTCTAATAAAACACTGAAGTCCAAATTCCAAACAAAATAAATAACTATCATTAAAATCTTAAATCTAACAAAACAATAACATTCAACATCCAAACAAATATAGTAATAGAACTAAAAGCCTGTATTGGATGAGGCAAGATAGGGATCAATGTTCAGACATGGTCATGGTATACAGTGGGAGAATTCCATATTTGATGTGAATTTCAACATGGAGTCTTGACAAAAGTTGTTTGTTATGTATAAATAAGTTTATAGCAAATACAAAAGAACTCATTTGAATGTATATACTTTTCATATGTACAGAGTATTTTTTTTCTTGCCCTGGGAAAGTTTCTTACATTGACATGGAAAATGATTAAAAAATTGTGATTACAGAAAATAATTGGGGATAACAGTAGACTATATACATTGTCCTGGTCGTATTATGATTAATCAGCAAGCTTGTATATTTACAGGATTATCAAAGTCAGGGTTCCCGCGGCTTCGTCAAACATTTTTTCAAGGATATTCAAGGATAAATATACGTCAAATTCAAGGATTTTCAAGGACATTTTTTAGCCTAAAGTTACAATTTTTCATCTTAAAAATAACCAAAACATTACCAACTATCGTTATAATCTCATATTTAAAAGGAATTGAAGACATTTGAAACAAAATTAAGGATCTCAACTGAAATTCAAGGATATTTTCCTATTTCCGCGAAATTCAAGGATATTCAAGACCTTGAAAATGAAATTTGAAATTTAAGGATATTCAAGGATTTTCAAGGACCGCAAAGGTATGATTGTCAGGGATTATAGTTGACAAGCTAATTTGATTTCTAAATCAACAAGAAATTATTAACTCGTTCTCACCGAGCCCAAAGTAAATTGTTGTATGACACCATAGTGGATGGTTTATTAAGATCCCCAATTTTGCATACTGTGTTAATTGTGTAGTGGATTGTTAAAATACATGTTAAAATGTGTAAAAGTGATATCATACCTTCTTTCTCTTTTACCAGCTAAACTTTGAACATTTCTTTGTGTAAGAGGTAACGGTGCAGCAGGTGGTCTACGTCTATCTGGACTTCTTTGAGGTTTAACTGATACAGCACTACGAGGTTCCCTGATAAAAAAAAATACAGCTTTGTAGCCATCATTCACATTAAAGGGGGATAATAGATGGATAGATTGCCAGGAAAGTTCTTGCGTTGTGTTCTTTTATAAAACATTATTATTCAGGATATAAAACTAACTTACATATTTCTTAATGGTACAGGAGGTCTTGAATCTTGTGGATATACAGGATTACCTCCCCTTCTGTCCATGTTACGAGGTGGAAAATTACGACCCATTTCTCTGGAGTTTGGTGGAGGTCTTTTATTGATCCCTGGACTACGTGACCGAGATCTAGAAGACCTACAGGAAAGAATATTTTGTTATCAGAAAATTAAAAGGTTATATATAAGTATGAATTTCACATCAATATACTAATATAACAGTGGAACTTAGTATGTATTTTAGACAAATATTTCAAGCATATGAAAAAACTTACCTAGAAAAAGAGGAAGATCTACTATACGATGAACCACTACTGTAAGAATTAGAAGAATATGATCTCGAACCAGATGAAGAGAAAGAGCTGTAAATAAAACAATGTTTAAAATATTATATAATCAATTATATTAATTATTCCTTTTTGAAAATTTTGTAGACTTGATACAGTGGAAAGCTTGATTTATTTTAGGCACGTATTCTTATTTCTTGGATGTTCTTTCAAACAAGATTTGAAAGAAAATGTAAATACATTTTCAAAAAGATAAGTAGCCAGGCAACGAAACATACGCCCACAGCAGCTAAATTGTCCGGGCAGTCAACAAGAGTTGTCACATATTTTTACTTTTTCCGGTAATGAAACATTTATAATACATTAAAATCTGATTAAGAGTAACAACTCATTAAGTAATTATCAGAAAACCATTAGAATTTGTTTGGTTTTTATAAAGTTTTGCCCCATGCTAACGTTTAGTATAGGAAACCTTTAACATCATGGATTTAGCTGTTCAAGTCATAAAAATTCATTGAAAATCAATATACTTGTTCGTCTCAAGACCTTAAACCCTGTGTATGAATCTGAAGTCAATCAGATGATAACTTTAGCTTCTAGAGGGTCACAAGATTTTTCAAAGTGATCAAGGGCCATAACTTTGGCAGTAATTATCGGAAATCGTTGAAAATCAATGATTCTTCGTCTCATGACTTCAAACACTCTGTATCAATTTAAAGTCAATCGGATATTAACTTTGGCCTCTAGAGTGCCCACAAGATTTTTTGAAGCGATCAAGGGCCATAACTCTGGCAGTAATTATCGGAAATCGCTGAAAATCAATAGGCTTTTTCGTCCCATGACCTTAAACACTGTGTATAAATTTAAAGTCAATCGGATATTAACTTTGACCTCTAGAGCATCCACAAGATTTTTTGAAGCGATCAAGGGCCATAATTTTAACTCTGGCAGTAATTATCGGAAATCGCTGAAAATCAATAGACTTCTTCGTCCCATAACCTTAAACACTGTGTATAAATTTAAAGTTCATCGAATATTAACTTTGACCTCTAGAGCGTCCACAAGATTTTTTGAAGTGATCAAGGGCCATAACTCCGACAGTAATTATCGAAAATCACTGAAAATCAATAGACTTCTTCGTCTTATGACCTTAAACACTGTGTATAAATTTGAAGTCAATCGGATATTAACTTTAGCCTCTAGAGCGTCCACAAGCAATTGTGGACGCCGGACGGACGGACAGGGGCAACGACAATATACGACCACATTTCAATGTGGGCGTATAATAATCTAAAATACCTAGAGGAGTGAGATGAACCACTGTGAGAACGCCGTCTTCGTCTAGGTCGTGAATTCCTAGGAGCTTTCTTTTTAATTGGAGATTTGGATCTAAAAATATAAAAAGTTTACAATAAGTAAAATAATTTCTTCCATTAAATTATCATTAAACTTTATTCGTTTATAAAGTTTCCTTTATAAAGTTTGAAATAACAAAATTTATATTTTGGGAATTCATTATTAATCTGACATAAGTATTAGAAAAGATCAAGGTCCAATGCTCACAAAGCTAATTATTATGTGCAAAGTGGATTTGGCATCTTGGCAGTGTGCTATGGAAAATTTTGTCCGGACAGCAATAACTAAAGCTTTTATTATGATTACTGTCAGGGGATCTTTAACATGCTGTCAGTGGTATAAACATGACAAAAGACTAGAACTAAAAGATTTTCCTGGCCAGATCCACTCTTCTGTACTAATGACGAAGGGAAACCTGGCTGGAAATTCCTGAGGAACTTCCTCAAAATCACTAAATATTCAGCCACTTATGTTAAGTTTCATTAAACGATTTTTCTTCTATTTGTTGAATGTAGATTTTAAAGGCAACAAAAATAACTTTGTGGACAATGGTCTTCTGACTAACACTTATAATAATATGAACAAAATCAAACCAACAAGAATAAATAAAAAGTAGTGATTAAGCAAAACTATCATATTCATGAATTTGCTTTAAAGTATTTATTTGTACCTTTGCCAGGGATCTCTCCATTCATCTGCTCGACCTCTTACAACAGGAGGTTGTGAATCTCTTGGATCTCTAGGTTCAGGTCGTAACTTGGGTGATTCTGGACGGTATAATCTGTAACATCATGTGTTCAGTATAAAATATATTGTCTTAAAAATCATGAATATGTATGTGGTTATAACAACCTATAATAATACTAGATAATACTGACACTTCTATTTTTCTACCAAATTACAGATTTATCTAAAGATCCTATTTCATTTCCAACAATATCAAATTATAACTAACCTTTCAACATGAGATGGTGGAAAATGTTTTTCTTTGAATCTATCTTTTTCCTGAAACAGTAGAAACATGTCCAAATTATGAGAAAAACAAATTTATCTATTAATTCATATTTTCATAATACAAATCAGGTAATGGTACACAACAAATCATTCTGCTTTAATTTGAGGTGACAAAATGTACTTACCCTGAAGTCCTCCAACATATCTGGACCTCTTGTCCACCGAACTTCAAAGTTTTCATACTGTCCAGCCTGAAAGCCTTGGGGTCTATCATAATATTCATCTGGCTCTTCATATCTACAATACCCATTAATTAAATTGTTTTGTGTCTCATTAACACTACAATAATATATGTATGTTATCAAATAACACATTTTCTTATGGAATAACAATTACTACTTGTGAAATCTTGTTGAAATGTTGCAGTGTCAAAAACCATAGTAATTGTTATTCCATACAAAGTGTGTTATTTGATTATGTCCCAATTACTAAATGCCATCAAAGAATATATGTATGTTATTTTTGAAACTAACAACGTCAGATCTTGAGACTCAAATTTAATCTGTCACATCATACAGTAACAACTTTTCTGAAAACTATTCAAATATAGAAAATAACTGTAGAAAATAACAATTACCCACCCAGCGTCATAATAAGGATCTTTATATCTGTGACGTTCATTTTCTTTATTAAATTCCTTATCAGGAACATCGTCTAAATTTAGATTCAAACGTTTTTCCTCAAAATCTATTTCTGTTTCTTTTCTTTCTGATGCTTTCTTCTTCATCTGTTGATGAATAAATGCAATAAAGAACATATTATTGATTGCTAACTTATAATCTAATTACTTCACTAGTTGCAATGTACAATACATTATCATGTTGCCTTTCATCCATACATGTAACTAAATAGGTATATTGAATGAATATTGCTCATAGTGTACATGGTTTAAAAAATCAATATGTGAAATATATGTATGTAATTGTAAACTATACCTCTTTTGCCTGACGAAGACCCCTCTCCCATGCTGTTTCAACTACTGGTTCCTCAATAGGTGGTGGGGGAAGAATCTCAGGTTCTGGACATGCCTGTTTTCAATATACAACAAAACTAAAAGCAAACTAGATTTGGCAAAGTGACAAGTTTGAGAGTTTTTATAGTAGATCATCACCAAATTATTCATTAATTACAAATACATTATACAGTAAAGTAATGTGCGTCGTTGACCTTGACTGTATAAAATTGTAAAGTAAAAAGAAAATAAATGGCCAACACCGGGAGCGAACCATTTCTTCTCGGTTAGCGAACGAAATACGTGCTAATTGAGCTACATAGACTAACTAGTCCATTGCAGACGGACATATGTTATGCTGTGTGCTATTATGCGGGAAATTTTATGCCGACAGCAGCCCTCCAACTTGCTTTTATTTTGAATTCCATCAATGATTCTTTTACAATAATGCCATTGTGTACACTGAACCTCTGGATGCCCCATCATGCAGTGTACTAAAAGGGAATTTTTTCCTCGGACAATACTCGTATTTTGAATTCAAACTGCCAAGGGTTCCTTTTGTTGCACAGCAATGTGTACACGGGACCACAATTTTTGTCCCATCTGAATGACTGAACATTGTACCTTGCCAGAGACAAGCGGAAACCATGAGGAACTGTCTCGGGCAATACTGGTACAAATCTCCTGGTCAGCGAGGAAGCGCTTTACTCACTGTGCCATAACGGCTCTTTCGAATAAATTAAATTAAGATTAGTTTTTCAAAAGGCTCAAATGTTCCTAAAGACACCTGCAAATCTTCAAACTATAATACAATCATTTACTTCAGACAGCACCATAAGAGAGTTTTAGTCTTAATGGTATTCAATGAAGACGATAACAAACAATTACATACTCAAGTGACTTATTTTCACTGTAGAATCCAAAAACACATATTTTGGTAAACATTTAAATTAAACATAACCAATATTAAAGGTGTTGTACCATAATCTATCAGTTTAATCTTTTTTCAAAGTTGCACAGAACCTTTGTTTATAATCTGATTTTGATAAAACTTTCAGAATATGCACCTAATGACTAAATTTATCGTTTTGTCATTGACATTTTACCTGATTTCAAAGTCTTACAATTTTAAAAAAAAACCTTCAATTTTATGACGTCACTTTAAAAAAATCTAGGTCAAATATCAAATTTCTACTGCAACAATCGATTGCGATTAGTGAATGCATTCCAAAAATATCAAGCTATTGACATTCGGATAAAAAAAGTAGGACAAGTAGGATTTTGAAGATTGACTTACTTTTTTCAAAATGGTGGCACTTCCGGTGAATCTTAACTTAATAATATTACTCTAAAAAGTTGATAGACAACTTGTATTGACAAATATTTTTAAATAAAGCAAAATTAAAGCATTTGAAAATCTGACTTCATCTTCAAAGGGGAGATAATCAGAAACTTTTTGTTGACATTTTTGGTATAACCCTTAACCAGTTATTGTCGACTATAATCACCACAACGTTATACAGCTAAGTGGTCACGGTCGACTAAAGTCGACCACAGCAAGAACCTTTTTATAAGCTGCATTTGAGTATTTAGTTTCGTATTTAATTGATATGGCCACTTGTCTAGTCAAGGGCATTGAGAAAAACATGTCTTTGTTCAACAATTTTTGACAAAAAACGTAATTTAACGATGTCGGGAAGGTTAAAGACTCAAAGTGGTTAAAATGCTTATGAATGATTCCGACTCTGATTATATCAATGACACCGATTCCGAAGACGATATTTCTGATGAAAATGATTTAGAATGATTTGCAAATTATAGACCAACTTATCCCCTTCAACTTTTTTATTGGTGTCTAGAGTCTATCACTTATAATTATCCGGCAATAGTCGATTGAAATAGGCATACAAAATATTTCACTTTAGCCTTTATTTAGTCTGACCACTTGACGTCATGACGTCGATCGGTTAAGGGTTAATTCACTCATTTGTAATATATTCTGAATGTTTCAAGCCAAAATCTTCAAAAATAAAAAAGTTACTAAGTAGTAGTATACAAACTAATAATAATCTTTACAAAAACAATAATAGTCCAGTAGAACTTGACGAGAACCCTAACATTTCAAATTTGGCTACCAATCTCTACAAAAGACTATAAATAAACCCCTAGAACAATTCTAGCTTGGAGAAGTACATAACGTTTCTGCTCTGACTACAACTACTACTGATAATACAAAAGTTGTTGTCAGGACAGATTTCAGGTTGCCAAGCAAAGAAATATATACCCATAGCAGGTATGACATCCAAGGCCGTCACATGTCTATTCTTTTGTAGGCTAGTGTGACTTGACAATGTAGACTAGTGTGACAAAACAATTCAACCAAATGTGGGAATCTCTGATGTTGCATAAGAGAAAAAAAAATCAGGGCTAAAATATGAGCAGATAGTCATAAAAATAACTTACATCACTCTGCTGCCATGTTGGACCATACTGTCCTCTAGGTCCCATTATGACATTAAAACCTGGTCTCTCTATTAAACTATAGTTACCTAAAAAAATAAAAATACATACTGTTTCATATCTTTTAATGAATCTCAATGGACTTTTCAAAACATCAAAAGATAGGTTGCCAGGCAATGAAGTAGTCAACAAGGTTGTCATATATTTTTGCTTTTGTCAGTAATATACATTTACAACACATTAAGAGTAACAATACATTAAGTAATTATCAAAAAACATTAGAATTGTTTTGGAATTATTTGTCTAATGACCTTAAAAATTTATATTAACTTTAGCCACTAGCAGGTCCACAAGGTTTCTTGAGTAATCAATAACCATAACTCTGGCAGTAATTATTAGAAATCATTGAAAAGCAATAGGCTTCTTTGACTCATAACCTTAAACACTGACTCACTGGGTATAAATTTAAAGTCAATTGGATATTAACTTTAGCCTTGTGGGAGCTGGACGGACAGACCGACGGATACATGGCAATATATGATCACATTTCAATGTGGGTGTATGAAAACAGAAATAGTACAGTTTATTTTCATTACCAAGAGAGACATTTCTTTGATCATGTGTTTATATTAAGTCTGACAATAATGTAAAGAAAACTCCTTTCATTACCTTTATCATTAATACCAGGATGTAGAAATCGACAATTATCACCCCATGTACAGTTTCCTTTAACAAAAAATCTACAGATAGGCTTTACAAATGGTTTCTTAGAACCTGGTTCACGTATTTCTCCTTCTTCACAATCTTCATCCTAGATAAAATACATTATCTTATTTAATATTTAATGTAGTATAATAAAATATACACTAGTATAGAATGGTTTTTGCTACAATTATGCACAAGATAATGTACCAATGATACATATAGACTAAAATACTGTTTCGCAAATTAATTCAGTGATGTTTGGGCCTTCAAATACCAATGCCCAAGGGATATTTTACATACACTACCATTTGCACACAGGACCTTCGATTTTTTTTTCTATCCAAATGACTAGATGAACTTTCCTTGTCAACCCAACAGACAGCAAATCAGATAAGTGGGCACCAGCTAAAGATGTGATTATCATCCTACTTGTTATTAGACGGACAGAATAAAAAATTACATTCAAAATTGGGTCTTCAGGCTCCTAAAAACATTTCTGTTTATCAATTGACTTTTCAGCATCAACAAATGCGGTGGAAAATTAATTATCAAGAATTGAATGATGGTGATAAGAAAAGACTCAAGGAAGGCAGATTTTTGGTCACAATCATCTACTATCTATTTTCTATTGCTGACATGTGGGTAAAACTGAAGTTTTAACTGTTTCAAGGGCCCCTTTCCCCTATGCACAGTAATATCTCCTGAAAGTCGCTGGAAAATTCAGCAATATATCTTTTAGTGACAAGCAAATTTACTGAGTGTCAAGGTTTACTTTTGACTGATAATTTTACCTATTAAACAACACTAGCACTGTGCTTGATAAAAATGCCAAGTTTCCCGCCAAGGACATTCTAGTGTCCTAACGAAAATATCAGCCAAGGTAGTATGCTAAAATATACTTACATCATCTATTTCTCCATCATCAGATTTATCCATATCCTAGAAACACAAACAAATTGAATTTCAAGTGGTTATTGTCATTGTTTATACATCATTAATAAATAAGACCCACAGGGCTAATAGTTACATTCCTTATTTAAATTTAATATTAAGAGCTGAATGTGTTCTTTAGATAGTAAATTAAAAGATCTGTGTGGATAGAAATGAGTTACTTCAGTAAATGACTGACCTTATAAGTTCTAAGTCAGAAAAAGATTATGACATAAAATCAATATCAAGTTATAGGAACTTTAGATGTTCAAATAACTTAGATCTACTTAACGGTTGAAATATTTTAATATTTGGTGCCATATGTTAATTTTTTGATAAGCCTGTTATTTGATGTGCATTGACTTAAAAGTCTATATTAGCCTTTAATTATTACAAAATGTTCAAAATCATCTGGAAAGATCTGAAAATTGTAAAAACACACAATTTATTTAAGCTAATTAATTTGTGTGATTACCTGATCATCATCACTTCTCATCTCTCCTTCTTCATGTTCACTTCTTTCTTCTTCTTCATCATAATCTAATTCTACATGTTCTTCATTAAAGCTAGTGTTATTATTATTGGGTTTATTATTAGTCATTTTATCACTTATCTTATTCTCTTCTACACTACACTCACCATTTACACTAGCATCATAGTTTAATACTTCTCGAGAGTCTGTCTGACCACTAGCAGTTACCTCCCCGTCTTCCTCACTTGTGCCTTTATTTGGAATGTTTGCACAAAGTCTTATTCCTGAATGAGAATCAAGTTGAGGTCTTTCACTTGGACTGTTGGCTTCAAGATCTAAAGTATCATCGCCAGATGTATAACCCGATGCATCTGGTAGTGGACCTTTATCGCCAGTACAGGAGGAATTCTTAAATAAAGCACTTATATTTGCATGAGTTTGGTTTGAGTCAGCTCTGGCAAACTGAACAGAACTTGAGCTTGATTGATCGGGCATGTGTAAAATTTCACTATCTGACTCATCAGATTCAATGGGTTCCGCACCTGCTTCTAATTTTCTATAGGATGAAGAATTATCAATGGATTCATCAGGAGACTCGATTTCTTCTGCATAGGGCACTTTTGAATCTAGGGAAACATTTGTGTCACATTTATAGTCACTGTTATCCAGTGATTCATTACTATCAACTTGATTATTGTCTTCTGCAATGTCAACACAACTACTTTGAGTTGAGTCGGCCACTTTATAGGAATCTTTATCTGGGCAAACACCAACTTTTAAATTAGAAGAATCTACATTATCTGTAGTGGAGGCTACAGCTTCACTGGACATGTTATCTGCTGTCACTTCTGATTTCAAACTACCACTTACTTCATCATTAAAACTATCAGCATTATCAGTTCTCCTTATATCATCATCAACACTTAGTGAGTTAGAAATATTCGCATCAGAAGTTACAATTACATCCCTTTCCTCATCTTGAATATCCTCTGAAGATACTGGATTTTGTATCAAGCATTCAGCCTCTGAGATCTGATTATCAGCAGATATATCTTCTTCCCTGTTTTCCGAATTTTGGGAATCAATATTGTCATCATTGTCTGAACCAGAACTTTGAATGTAGCTCCCATCATTTTCAGATTTAATAGGATGAGAGCCATAACTGTCGGGTTCTTGATAATTTGGCGATCCTGGCGTGCCAGTTGGGGAAATTGGTGTGTCAGTTGTGGAAATGGGAGTTTGAGTTGGGGATTCTGGGGATTCTTCAGGTGATCCTGGTGTTTCTAATGGTGACTGTGGAGTTTCTATTGGTGAAGATGAAGACTGTGGAGTAGAATCTACAATATCTGAAGACGGTAGAACCATTTCAGCATCTTGAGATGGAGAAAGATCAAAATTATCATCATCAAGCATTGGTTCTCTATCAGCATTAGAATTGTTACCACCATCAAATATCAAGCCTTGCATTTGCTCCAAGTCACGGTCATTTGGAGAATTATCTTCTCCTTCTGCCATAGGAGAGTTAGCTGTTTCCATTTCTCCATCGTTATCATCTTTTATCTCATCTGGGTTATCCTCAAAATTATCACCTATTTTCTGATGGTCATTTTCTGAGCTATTGTCGGCATCCATCAGTGCCAAAATGACTAATAATCCTACAAAGGCAAAAATAACAAATCTTCATTAACAACATTAGAATGAACTATTAGGTATTTTTATTTCTTTTACTATCCCATACAAACATACACTGTTACAAATTAATCTACATGTATAAAAATAAGAAAGTAGGAAGTACATGTAAGTTTGACGTAACTGAGGCATCAGATTTAAAAAGGACAATGTGTTAATATTTTTTAAAACATTGTCTGAAAAACTAAAATTCTCTTTATATTAAGAAGTAGGAATGAGTAGATTTTTTTATTAAAATATAAAACATATGCTGGCTGGGAGTCTCAACAGAAACTGTATGGCAACATGTTACTGAGATTGGCTAAAGAATTGACTATATAATGCTGCAGACACTGGAAACATACATGTAAACAAGAAAATCTTTTATGTCAAAAAGGAAATTCCAAGAAATGTGGACATTTAGATAATGTAAGATAATGTAAAATTACATTTTTTAGAATTCAACATAACCACTGAGCTGCATATGCAACACGCAACAGTGCCATACACGTGGGAGGGGTTCACTGTCAAATTTGACACTTCAAGGAAGGGTTGATGAAAACTGCCGCGTGCTGGTTTATCTATCCATGTTTGCGTTCCTATTGGTTCTTGCATAAGATTAACTGTTTAGCGTATCTTTGCTTTAGAAATGAAATGAAATGGGGTTTAACGTCCTACTGTTCTGCTCCTAACCTGGGCTAATGAAGAGGGCATACGCCATACAGTGTGCTATGAGGGAAATTTTGCCCGGGCAGCGGCACTATCGCCTACTCTTATATCGAATTCCAACTGCCAAGGGATCATTTACGTGCATTCCAATATATAGACGGGACATCGGTTTTCCGTATCATCCGAAGGACTAGACAGCTGGAGGTCGGGTGTTCGATCCCTGCATTGGCCGAGAAAGTTCATTCAGATTTTCCAGTGTGGTTTCCCCTTGTCAGTGATGCAGGACGGAGGGCCTGACAAGGACAGCTGTCTAGTCATTTGGATGGGACGAAAAACACAGGTCCTGTGTACACATTGACGTGCACGTAAAAGATCCCTTGGCAGTTGGAATTCGATATAAGAGTAGGCCGTAGCGCCGCTGCCCGGGCAAAATTTCCCTCATAGCACACTGTATGGCGTATGCCCGTCTTCATTAGCCCATGTTAGGAGCAGAACAGTAGGAAGTTAAACCCCATTTCATTTTATGTTCATGTGTAGCCAATTGGCCTGTAATTAACATACACTGGTTATCTCTAATAAAAACAGCAGTGCATTTCCGCAGTTTTGTACTGTAGTGTTTCTGAATATCCCCTACTTTTTTTTTGAAGAGTATATTAATGCAAGAATTACTGGATTTATTGCGAGAAGGGGCGCAACTCTTACTTGACTTGGCCAAAGGTACTGGATAATCAACCACATTGAAAATCAAACTCACGGTTATGCATGGGCAATGGACTTTTCGTCAAATATTGACAATGGTCCCAGACCCTCCGTACGTTGAAGACTAGGAGGTTCTGGGTGACCGAGATTAGCCTACTGCATGTCTTTCTATAGGCTTCAAATGTTATAGAAATGATTAATTAGACCTTTATTTACATAAAAAGCCCCAAATCAACTTTGTAGACCCTAAGATGGCTTGGATACAGCTTGGATTTAACCAGTTGTCTATTTAATAATTAAATCATTAAATGGCTGACCAGGCTAACATTTATCGTTAATCACTGACGTCACTACAAGACTGCCGATGAAAGGACTGACAATCAAGTGTACCGTAGGCATTGAGAATGCTAATTGATAATTGCAAATATGTGGTCGGAGTTATTGTCTGTCAATCAAATGATCGGTAATTCTCGGAGACGGTGCAGAGACAGTTGATGCCCATTTCTAGTCCAAACTGCTAACAGTGATAATTTCATTCAGAATAAAGTAATTTGACTGAAATTTTCAATATTTTCTCTTTTTTTTATCATCTGTTTTTGAATTATTATATCAAGAATGGCCAACTCTTTATTAAAATCTTAACTAATATATCCTTAAGTTTACCAGGTGAAACTAAAGGGATCCAGTCATAGCTAGGCCTAACAACAAACACATCACACTCACAGTAGTTACTTTAGTAACGTATTGTATCGCCTCTGCTCTCTACTACGTTACTGCCGCATGCTCTATACAACTAATATGAAAATAAGGCTTTTCCCCCATCTCGGTTCAAAGGCAATTTTGGAATCCTTAGCGTCTACTTTTCTGAGTGAGAGCAGAGCTGATACAATATGTTACTAAAGTAACTACACTCACAGTAGTTCAACTCTGAACATAGGTGTCATTACACTCGCCCTGTACGTTCAGGAAAAGTCCTCTTGAATCCTTGTCGAAACTAAAAGCGGTCCCAAATTGGGAAAATTTTTACTGCTAAACGGTCGTGTGTCAGTCTCTGTGAACGCCTGTACAATGTAAAGGGACATCTTAGTGAGAAAATAGGACCTAGCTTACCTCGCTAGAGTCAGTATGAGCGACACAACACGCTATTAAAAATACGTCCCCTCCTATCAAGTTGGCTTTTCGCCACCATGACATTCTAAATATAGGTCAACGACAACGTCCATATTTAGGAATGTCGGCCATACAAGACGAAACGAAATTTAGGTAAAGATTAGAATCTTTAGTCACTTATTGCTTTGCCCACCTTTTAATACTACAACAGAATAAAACAAACATTCCAGGTGCATATTGAGGGATAAAACAATTTACTTTTATATTCAGTATTTATTGTGGGACTTGGTGACCGATAATGTTTTAACAAAATCATAGTAAAACATACATCTTGCTTCTCTAGTTTTATTTTTTTTTTTATAAAAATACATAAATAATTTAAAATAACAAGGTTGGTTTTTTTTTTCTTAAAAAGAGGAAAAACACATGTCAACTCCCAAATAAAACTTTTACAATTAAAAATGACAAATATGCATATAAAGCAAATATCAATGAATAAATCTATAAATATATGAACATACCAGGCGAGTGTGATGAGACCTATGTTCAGAGCTGAACTACACTCACAAGTACTAACTGCGTAGCCTGAGCCTGAGTATCTCTATCTCAACATTTTAAATTTTAGGAACCTTGCAAGTCCAATCATACATGTACATATGATGGTTTTGAGGCACACCTTGTTCCATCTGTGGCAGTGAGCATTAAACACAATGAAAATTTGGTAAAAAGAGACGAAAACTAACATTAAAGTCAATCTATCTATACTGTCTATAGTGATCTGTTGCAATATGCTCATAATCATTCATACTCATAGTACCGAGACCATACCTAAAAGCAAGCGGTCGAAAGGACATTATTTGAGATATCGATAATTCTAATACTTACCTCAAGTATACTCTGTTTTATCTGTTATCTGTTTATTTAATGATTTAATTTTAGGAAAAATTGGGTTTAAGCTATAGGAAACTTTATTTAGTTGGAGTAATTCAATAAAATTAATGAATTTTTGACAAAGCTTGACTCCGAGCGGAGGCTGCCATTGCAATATTTTCATTGGATAAACTCACACATGCAAACGGAACCGGAAAACAAAACCAGACTGAAACAAAGTCGTCCACAGCAATAGTAATACAACTCGTCCAGATATAACAGTTAACTCACCATTTTATTAGTTGATCGGGGCGTAAAATCTTGGAATATATTCCTGTTAATTTAGGCTAAGAAGATGAAGTCTATCATCTGATTTTAATAGTGCAAAAAAGCGAAATTTAAATCTACCCCCTTCCAAATCTGTCCCCTTGCTGCGTATGTCAATGACCCTAATTGGGGTCCCGTTTGTCACACTTATTTAATTGAATTCAATTTCATTTCAATTACACTGTTAAGTCACGCTTATAAACTGTTTATTTTATGAACATTTATTTACGCGGTGATGATTGGGAGGCTTCCTTTTGTCCGACTTGTCTCACTTCCGTTCAAATTTCAAGATGGAGGTCGAAGAACTTCTTTCTTTCAAGGTTTGTAATGATTATTAAAATATATTAATATTATATTATTTAGAATAAGACAGCCTATAGTTCTGACACCATATACTATACTACTACACTTCAGTTTTTTAAATTAAAGCTCCTATCGTAGTTCATTGACATTGACAATGACCATAATTCAATGAAAATAAATAAAATAGAAGCTTCCTCCAGGCCAGCTCGGCAGCTGTGCCCCAGTAGTTCAAGTAGCAATGCAAAAGCTTTTTTATATTTTCGAATCTGACTAAAACTGAATATTTTCTAGCATTCCAACCCCCCTCCCATTTAAGAAACCCAAAAAATTTTCAAAATCGGTTAAGAAATAAAAAAAGTTATTGCATTTTAAGACCCCAAATTGATGGATGTACAATCCAACAAGTTAGATGTTACTCTTCGATATTCTGAGGACGTAACATCTAACATCCGAACGGTCAAAACTTCGTCGCAAAAGTTGATAACTAGTTTACTTCTTTCAGCAGACGGCAAAATTCACAATTTTCAGTTATCTGCACTGCTAACACATTAAACTTACATATCATATCCATCTATGTTCCGAAAAATATTTTTTGCTGCTGTCTATTTTAAGAGATTTCACAAAAATCTTCGCCTACACACAACAAAACACAGTGAAACAGGAAATGACCTACATTGGTCAAAGTTGAAATCTGGCATGGTGCATATTACGAACATAATTCTTTAAACGAAACGAAATCATGAGACTATAATTTGAAGGCGATCATTTTAAATTTATTTTTAGTGATGGTCCGATTATCGGTTTCACTATTCAGTAGCCTAATTGGCCGATGAGTGGCCTATCAGAAGAAATTTTACCGATATTTGCGTAGCTGATATCTGTTCAAAATGACTCGGCAGTCAATAAATCTTTTCATAAAATATTATTCAAATTGTGAACAAAGCATTCTTTCTAGTCTCTTACTTAAAATGGCACTCGGCCCTTTTATTTTAGTTGCCGTGTGTGTGATACAAGACTCAATAGATATTTTCAACGATAGAAAAAGCGGGAAAATGTCACGTGACATTGACAAGACAGAAGCTATTATCATCAACCGGTAGCGATGAAACATTCTAAGAATGCCGACAAATTTAAGGATTTATATTGTAATGAACATTTAATAACATTTTATAAATAATAATCTCAAGCATACCGCCTATGCTAGAATTTACCACGGCATAACGGCAAAACTGTCGTAAAAAGTAAAAGCTGAAGCAAACACGGACTGCCACGGTAATAAAAATAGCTCAAATTGAGCCCATGTACACGTATCAAAAAGTTATGCCTTTTATATACATGTAGACGTATGAAATGCATAGGTAATAACTTTTCAATATATCATACAGTCGTCCAGGGACGGCTGGGCTTGGGATTAGGTCAATAATTCAGAAATGCAAGATTTAGTTGTAAATAGTGTCCCAAGCATACCCATATAGTTCATTTTTTCATAAGAATGCTCACTTTCTAAAATAGTGCCCTTATTATAGAAGGTTATGACATGATGGCAACCATTGGGAACACGAATAACTAAAGGATCGAAAGGAAAAAAAATTTCGATGACTTTATTACTCCAAGAGGAATCTGTAAATTTTATACTTATGACAGTACCACCAAACGCAATTAGAACCAGATTAATTGACACGGAAAATCATAGCACCGTTTGTCTATCTACAAATATAAAAATTGCACGTTCAGTGACGGAAAATGACAACAGTACATAATTTGTTAAATATGAAGAAAGGCAGCCGTGCCTTATAATTGTCAGCTAATTTTTGTAGTTACGGCATTTATAAATTTTTGGTGCCGTTGTAGAAGAATCCTCATTTCAAGCACTGGTCATGATCTAGGCATACTACTACTAATTAATCATGCAACAAATAATTATTAAGTTCTCAATAGACGTTGTGTATTTTCAACTACGTATGAAGAGCGACCTAATTATTCTTCAACAAACATCGTAATCTATCCCGATATAAAACCTCTACAAAAACAGTACATATACGCAATCCATAAAAATATTGTACAAAAATGCATTTCGTTTCGCGTAAAACAGGGATCCTCAAATTTTAATGCGGAGGATATGACGTCAAAAAAAGGTCAAACTATCCCAACATGGCGACTGAAAGAAATGCTGGTGTATGTGATATTCGCCAATGGCGACAATTATTTTTATTGGCGAATAAAGTGATGATACTGGCGAAAAATTTGGCGAATGAATTTTAGAGAGAGTTATTTCGTAAATCTGCTAATATTAAACTTGAAATTGTCTCGTTCAACGCTTCTTTCGATAGACTCGATGGAGTGTCTATTTTTAGTACATTAATTACTCTAGTCTCAATCTTACAAGTCGCAAATCAGTCAATGTTACGCATTAAAAAACGACCGAAAGATCGAGTCTCGAGACTATAAAACACAGTTACGCTCCTTTTGTGTGGCACCGCGTTGTTTACATTCGCTTCACTACAAGTTTTCTTTACTTACGCAGCAAATAAATAAAACGCACAATAAAATGCACAACTAATACTAGTAAACCCAAAATAAGGAAAGATTCCCTTTTCTTTCCTACGACTACTGTTAGTCCAGAATCTACTTCCGTAAGTGAGCGTGTCATCTCGGACGCAAGTCCATTGTTGGCTTCATCAACATGTGGACAAAAATTAGACCTTTAACCGAGACCGTCGAGCTAACCCTCATTGACCTCATGCTTATAAAAATGGATAGACTGAAAAGCATAAATTTTGAATTTGTCAGAGCATTTGATCAGTGGTGTCTTAAAAAGAATCCTCGTGTCTTTTCTGTTATGACGATGGAGTAAATTAAATCATGTGACTGTGAAGTACGTCCTATAAGTATAAACATTTTTTTGTTATCTGCATTCATTCTCTCAATAATGTGAACTTTTGCATGGACAAAGAGATAAAATAATAATCTTGTGTACTATATAAGTACATATTAAAGTGACAATAACACTCTTGCTGGCTTGACAGCTCCATAAAATAAAAAATAGCCTTATTCTAAGTACTAGATGTGTTAGTGTCATACCTGTTGTGTAAATTATCCATTAAATCCTATTTTACTTGTCCAGAGGGTTCAAAAATATTTTTAAATCCAAGTCACATTTGAAAAGCTTTACGTCAGGCTTTTCAAATCATTTAGTTGAATTTTTCTAATTTTTTAAATTAGGTGTGTTAAGATGAAATTTGTATCATCAATTAATTGGAATATTGTAAAATAGTACAATTTGTTGACCAGAATAAAGATTGAGACATATTATTCAGTTACAACAAGAGTGGTATTGAGCCTTTAAACATTTATTTTCATTTTTAATTAACAAACATATGAATACAAATGATATAAAATATTTGGCTAAAACTTTCTGAATTGGTTAATAAAATTTTGATTTGGCTAAAAATTTGGCTAAAGGTTTTAAGAGTCTAGGGCGGTCACTGATATTGGATAAACCTGTTTCACTGAACAACGTTTGTTTGTCAGTAAGTGTTATTGTTGTTCAGAGGTGGATAACACAATAAGGTAGGACATGCATTTAGAATTTATCGACTGACGCCTTTCAGCTCGTGGCTATTTGATGCGCCAACAATTCAGTGGCTCATTGCTCTAAGAAGGGACGGCTTAAAGATCCTTGAGGTTACGTGTGTACGAAACTTCAAGGCACCCTGGAGTAGATGTACGCCAGTGAAGCGGTGAACTGCTGACGTAATTTCGTCGTCGCAGTAATTTCGTACCCCAACTATTTTGTACAGCGGGGTACATTGAACAATTTCTGTCAAGTGGATTAAAATGTGTTTTTTTTAAAAAGTTAAAAATTAATTGAATTGAATCTGATACACAATAGCAACTATGATATGTCTTCAAACAATACAATAAAGTAAAGAGATCTTCTAATAAAAACATTTGATATGGAAGGAGGACAACCATGTATGTGAAAAATATGCAAAAAAAGTGACCGAAGACCATTTCTTGGAGATATTGGCATCAAATTTTCAGGAAATATCCCTCCGACCATTAACTATCTATTGGAATTTTGAAATTTGAGCAATATAATTTATTTGTTTTGATAAAAAAAATTTGAAATTTAAGCAATATAATTTATTTGTTTTGATAAAAAAAAAAATTTGGTTAATTTGTGTTGAAGACATTTTTAAGATAGAATTCACATATGATGGACCTCAAATTTCCGGTATTGCTTTATGCCGACAGAATTATCCTTATAATATAACAACTTCCTACACTGCTTCTCGATTTGTATGTGTCTAGGGATCTTTAACGTGCGCTGCCAATCTGTACATACGACCTTGTTTTTCATTCAACTTTTCCTTGTCAGGTTCTCTGATCCACAAAACAAAGTGAATTCTGGGGATGGAGCACTGGACATCCCATACTCATCTAGCCCATTCTCTTTTCTGGACAACTTTGCTTGTGGACGACATGACTGGCATTCGTGGCAACAGGGAGCCACAGTAGCTCAGTAGGTAGGATGTTGACTCACTCAACGGGATGTGCCATGTTCAATTCCTGCAAGTTCATTGTGTTATACACACCAGCCTCCCCCTGGATGTACGACGGGGGACCTGGCAAGTGACAACATAGTCATTCGCATAGAATGAAAAACTGATGTCCCATGTGCGCATAAAAGAACCCTCGACAGTTGGAATTCGAAATAAAAGTAGGCTGTTGCCAACCGTAGGCCTACCATACATTTTGACAAAGAGCTTTATCCTCCCCATCGCAGTTTAAAAATAGAACAACGCACAAATTTACGAATGTCGTCGATACGAAGACAAAACAAAATTTAGGTAGCGTGGGAAAACAAATTGGAATCTTTGAAAAAATTAGAATCCTTAGTCATTTATAGTTTTTTAAGAAAGTTAGTCGAATCAAATTTTTACAAAGATTCAAATTTTTTCTACATGTTTACTTAAAGATACATTAGTTAAGAGTTTAGTAAAGAGTTGGACAT